TGAAATCATAACATCTATAACTATATTAGATCTTAGATTGCGAACCGGTGGTGATGGGATAAGATCTAATCTATTTATACAATATGGTGATATAACGTATAACCAAACAAGTAGAGACAACTCTCAACCTCCCTTACAAGTTTATAACCACAGACTACAAACAACAACAACAACAACAAAAACCACTGATATTATATTTACTCATAAACAAATAAATGGACAAAAACTATGGATTGAAATACAAGGTAAATATTTAAAACTATAACAAGATGTATGGAATATAATATCTGACAAGAATGCATATCAGGTAGTTTGGATTGGACGAAAACCTGAAAACCGAAAGTTTACATTTTTTCTGATTAACTTAAAAGTGGTTTCACTAATATTGTCGTTGTAGATATGGATGTATTCGTTCTTTCCGACTGTAATAGAATTATGCCTGAGACTGAAATGGGATTTAAAGTCCTGTTGTTCTGCTTCGACTGGGCTAATGAAGATGGCCATACGCCATACAGTATGCTATGAGGGCAATTTTGACATTTTGCCCGGATACCGGCACTACGACCTAATCTTATTTCGAATTCGAATCGCCATGAGTTCTTTTACGTGCGAACTCGTTTTTCGTCTTATCCAAACGACTATACGTTGTCCCTTGCCAGGTCCACTGTCCTGCTCCACTGACAAGTGGGAACAACGCCGGAAAATCCCGATTAGTGTTCAATTAGTAAATGATGTTTAAAACGTAAACCAAAGTCGTAGTTTGGTGTAAAACGTTATCTGTGTGGCCATACTTATAGAAATAGTAAGATATCAATATGGCCAGATGAGAAACGACAACCCGCCACAGAAAGCACAGTGGCACATGAAGTAAGGCACTGCAACAGGGTGTCACGGGCCCATCCCGGTGTTGTCCTTTAAAATTCGTAGAGGTGCAGTGGTGCAGGACGGCATAAAGCGGCCCTTTTATTATACGTTGGTGTGCATGTAAAAGGATCCCTTGAGAAACAATACACGATTTGTGTAGTTAGAAGTTAGTTTATCCTCTTCTATATTTTCAGGTACAGGTTTGACAGGTGATTGTAATAGAGTAACTGAAACAAGTACAGCTTTATCTTCTACACATAGTGAGATTTCTACCAGTAAAACTGCTAATCTCACTACAGAATGGAGGATAGCTTCCAGTGCTGCAACCATTCATATGACTCCATCTGAAACAACATCAACTCAGACACCGGAAATAACATCTGATCCAACATCAAAAACACCAACCAGTCCAACAGACAGTGGGATACGTCAAACTGATAATGGTAAATTTATCTGTTTACTGTCCAAATGATATAAAATAAACGCACTTTCTTTATTGCCATTAACAAAAACATTGAATCGTCCAAATACAAAATAGGGGATTGGGTGGTCTAGTGGTTTGTCATTTGGTTAAGTAGCTTGGTTTCGATTCCTCACTTGTACGTGACAAGGAATAGGGTTGCTTGTCCAACATCGTGAGTTTTCTTCGGGTCGTCCGCTTTCCTGCCGCAGTTAACACGCCTATATAAGTGTTTATTTACTTTTGTCTATAAATTATTTCAGATAAAGACGTCGTGATCATTGCATTGGCTACTATATTATCTCTGACATTGGTACTGGTCATAGTTTTAGCTCTCCTTTACAGGTAAACTTATTGTTAATTAAAGATACATTATGGGAGATTAGATAACGAGAGTTGATTATGGTCTGGATAGGTTAATTTATGTCTAATTAATAATTTAGATAACATTCCAGGCCTAAAGAAAGACCTCCAATAGACAGATTTAGCTCTTGCATAATGAATGTTAAATATTTTACAATTATTATTGATCGGTGTCTTCAATAGTTCATTTGAGAATTTATGTCTACAACTTTTTAGATTTTTTATTCGACGTGTCCCTTTTCTAATGTATTTGTCGTATTTTTTGTTTTTGTCACAGAAAGGGCAAACTAAAGTGTTTGAAACAACCTGATAATCCAGGTGCTGAGAATCCAAGAACGATAACTCACGTGGAACCAGATACTAATTACAGTAATCTGTCTGATGTATCCAGAAATAATACAGATAATACTTACCAGGAATTACAAAACAGGAACTCAAATTCTCCGTATACTAATCTTCCATATTCTAGTAGCAGTGAGATGGAAACAGGTACTAACTACAGTAGTCTATCTGATGGTAACAAACTTGATACAGATAACCATGGTTACCAAGAACTACAAACAAGAACCCCCACGTCACCTTACAGCAATCTCTCCTATACTAGTGAACATGCTAAATATACTAATTTATCATTATAATATACACTTCCAAAAATAGAAACGCATAGTGCCATTTCGTCGTCGGTATACCCTCTTTCTACCATCGCCTCATTGCAACAGGAACCGCCTCATTGCAACAGGAACCGCGACTCGTCGCTGAACCAAACTATTCTCCAGCGTTGCTGTAGCCATACCCTGTGTATCAGAACCCATTGAAGTCTGATTTCAAAACAACAGCTCTAACGGGACGTCTGTCTCGTAATACGGTTTCAAGTAGGCGTCTATGGACTGTCTGGTCTGAGATCCTACGCCGTCCTGCTGCTGCAGAAGTGGTTGCTGTTACGAACCGTTTCCGCAAATATGACGATCCAGGGCGGGCGGGGTCACTCTTGTTTGGCCTGAGCTTGGGCGGTCACGTGTTGAACTTCGCTGTCGGTACCTATCCCAAAGACGAGAAATCGTACTCTGGGAAACATTCAGCAACCTGCTACATCTGTCTGGTATTCACCTGCTTGTAACCGACCGATAGAGTTGTTGAGTTGGTTTTCATTCAGATGTAGCATCCCTTGGTTAGGGTTAGGGTTAGGAGTGTTTCCATGCGCAACTGATTTTGAAACCGATAACCCCGGAATTTTAAAGGCCTTAGATTTGGGTTTCAGGGGAAAGCTTGCGAAGTTGTTAAACTCATGTGTCTTGGTGCAATCAAACGAAAACAAATTTCGGCAAAAAGTATGACCAGTCACAATTAGTGACCCAACATTTAAAACCAATAATGAAGTTCTTTTATCCTTACATAATGATATTAAGATTTATGAAAACACCGATCCCGTTCAAATAAGAAATTAAGATTTATGGAAACAACGATCCCGTAAAAATAAAAAAAAACAAGATGAAAAATGGGCTGTGCGTTTCTTTTTTTTGAAGAGTATATTTATAACACTCTCCTCCTATACTAATTTATCAGTATAAAATTTATAATACTGTACCCTCCCCCTATGTTAATTAATCTTTATAATATTTATAACCATCTCCCCCTATACTAATGAATCATTATAATATTTATAACAGTTTCCCCCGCTATACTAATTAATCATTACAATATTTATAACAGTCTCCCCCGCTATACTAATTAATCATTACAATATTTATAACAGTCTCCCCCGCTATACTAATTAATCATTACAATATTTATAACACTCCCCCCTATACTATTGAATCATTATAATATTTATAACACGCCCCCCCTATACTAATGAATCATTATAATATTTATAACACTCTCACCCTATACTATTGAATCATTATAATATTTATAACACTCTCCCCCTATACTAATTAATCATTATAATATTTATAACACTCTCCCCCTATACTAATGAATCATTATAATATTTATAACACTCTCCCCCTATACTAGTGAAACATTACAATATTTATAACCCTCTCCCACTATACTAATGAATCATTATAATATTTATAACACTCTCCCCCTATACTATTGAATCATTATAATATTTATAACACTCACAAATATACTAATTAATCATTTTGATATTGAAAAAAAACCTCAATACTAACACCCCCGCCTATACTAATGAACATCATACATATAATTAATAATTATACCCCCACCATCCTCTCCTTATACTCATGAACAAATTAAATGTACTAATTATTCATTATAATATTTGACCCCCCCCCCCCGACACCTATACTATTGAACATGATGAATCTACTAATTAATAATTAATAATATTATATGTATAATAATTGATAATTATATTAATAATGTAATATGTATAATAATTGATAATTATTAAGAAAATAATACTTAACAAACATATACGAATTCATAATTGGTAAATATTAATATATATAATCCTCCCCCAACTCATGAACATCATAAATATAATTAATAATATAATTTGTATACTAATTGATAATTATAATAAGCTTTAATAAAATAATAGTTAACATACGAATTAATGATTGATAAATATTATAAGTTAGTGTGCTATTGTTAGCATTGACATACTATTAGATGACTGGAACATCAGAGAGAGAGAGAGAGAGAGAGAGGGCGAGCTGCTTGGAGAGTGAGGGCTGCCTTTGAAGGGGAGTTATCTACCATATAATGTCTGTATAATATTATTCTGTATATTTTGGTTCCTGATAATAAACATTTTATACCCTAAGTGTACCCTGTTTTCCTGTCAATAGCAGTTTCAGATCTCCCGATGCTAATATTCATTTACAGCTTTTACTGCTGGAAGACTTGGCATAACGACTGCAGACGACTCAGCCATGGCACTTGGGAATAACGACCAAAGATTAAGATCACCGGAATTTTTAAAAAAAAAAAAAAAAAAAAAAAAAATATTGGCAAAGAAATGTCATGGATTTGACATTGAAGTCTAAAGGGAGAGAATTACTGTGAGAGCCCTACTAGCCCGAAACTTATAAAGATTACCTCCCCTTTTTACAGAGTTTTCTTATTAAACTGACATGTTATATACAATAATATATATTGATAAAATATACAATTAATAAAGCGATTAAATATACAGCGAATATATGTTATCTGTCCTTTTTACAAAGAATTCTTCGCATATTCAATACAATAAATCTATAGAAAAAAAAAAAAACATTTTGCGAACAAAGTCAAAACTGGTTATAATAACACGATTCGTAGATCAAAACTTTTGTTTGTTGATTAAAGATGTATTATGTAAGAGCTGAATGGGCCTATTGCAGGTATTTTTCTAGCTTCAAATCTTATATAAATTATTATTAACATTTATTAACATAATAATCCCATAATCAACCCTGGGCCATCTGATGGCTCTGATAATAAACAATCTATGCTAAATTTTGTTAAAACAAAAACACTCATTCCTTCGCACAAAAAATATCATTTTTTTATTATCTATTTTGGGAACTATTATAGCAAGAACGGTCAACTGTTTAGCTAAATCTTACATAATACATATTTAAAGCAGGAATCGTTGCTTTTTGCTCCCCGTGTTTTGAACTATTATAACAGGAACGGCGAGCCTTTATCTAAATCTTACATAATTTATCTTTAACGATTAATTAACATCTTAAAAACTATGGCATAAAATAAAAATTGATATAAACGAAAGCAGAGAATTCTTTGTCTTATACACCGTTATATGTGTCTTTTAAAGGAAAATATAAACCGTTTTCTATGATTTCCGTCTCGGGTGTAGCAAAATCTTGATTAGTCCCAATTCTTGATGCACTATCATACGTAGCACTTTTCAAAGGTCCATCTTCATTAGCGCAGTAGGAGAAGAACAGTAGGGCATTAAACTCCTTTTATTTCATTTCATTTTTCAAAGGTTTCGAAACGTTAATAGCCGAGTCCTCAAAAGGAACATATAAAACATTTTCCATAATCTCCATTTCTCCAGATGTCCGATCTGTTGCTTTAGCATTGGTTGAAGAAGCGCCACCAGGACCTGGATTGTTGGATGACTCAAAAGGAACATACAAATCATTTTCTAGGATTTCCATATCTGACACATCAGTGTCCCCCCTCTTGGTTACTTGATTAGGTGGATTCCCACCAGCCACATTAAATCTTTTTCCATTTTTATTAACAACAGCATATTCTGGTATATCTCTGGTTGTCATGGGAGATGGATTGGTACTAATATCCCCCTGTTTCCCACCAGCCACATTAAATCGTTTTCCATTTTTATTAACAACAGCATATTCTGGTATATCTCTGGTTGTCATGGGAGATGGATTGGTACTAGTATCACCCTGTTTATCATCCGGGTCTTGCGTATTTAAGACAGGAACATCCAGTACGAAATAATGTGGAGCTGTATTGTTAATGTCCTCACGGACATCAAGATTGTGCCGTTGGACATTGGCTTTGTCTCTTCGTATTCTGAAATAGATAATGATAAAATTATTTGCAATATACTCGAAGACTTTATGATAACCTATTGACTTATCAGACACAACGCAGTGCAGAAGAGTGTGACATTAAGCAAGATAACAATAACTTATGGTATACCACATTGTGGGAAGTCCATATATGCAATAAAATAAAAACAAGCAAAAAGATTAGGCCTGCTGTCAAATGTCAACATATACATTGATCATAGACAAAAACAATGACTTACAAACGACATTTTTTGAAACAGTGAACAATTTTGGGGCAAACTTATCACGATAGTATTCGTACTGATTATGATCATAGAAAGGCTGATAAATAAGGTGGAAGCTGTGTGGGTTGGGGGGGGGGGGCAACGCGTGGGATATAGGTCATTATTGGGTCATGTAGCTGTGTTTGCAATCATAGGCCGGTATGTAACAAAGGGGTAGGGTCGCTTACTTACCAGCCACCGGTACTACCAGCAAAGCGAATAATTCAATACATATTTTCTATGTTAGTCCCCCGAAATGATCTAGTTAGTGTTAGTCGGACGTTAAACCACCGCCAAGTTGTGTTTATGGCAATACTCAACTCAGCATTTATACAAATGATTTAGTAATTCGCCTTGTATTCAAATACAATTCTCAAATCGGATACTGAAACGTATTTGAAATCCAGAAAATTTGTTTTATAAGACATGTTCATAATGGCAATCTCACCTGAATACAACACACAGAGTTACAAGTATTAATATCAACACCAGTCCACCAACAGCACAACCAACTATTACAAATATATCTGAATAAAATAAAAATAAATTTTAACCATGTCGTGATGTCGTGATGTCGGTGTCGTGATGTCGGGTTGTTGACGTTATTTATCAATGTTGAAGCGGCCATGAATAATAGAGTGCTGTCCCTTGTATGACACAATAACTGGAATTTCGTATTTCGCCCCACCACTACCTTTAATTCAGCCAATGAAGGCTACCAAACTTGTATCAATTTTAATTTAAAAACGTATATATGCATTCCGCCGAAAATATAATAAATACATTTCAAGAGAGGATTAACTTTACTTTTCAGTATAGATATACGGAATTTTGGATTAAGCCCCTTATTTTTATTTCAAATACCCCCCCCCCCCCCCATTTCACTTTTCAAGGCGAGTAAATATAAATGAGAGAGAGAGCGAGAGAAAGAGAGAGAGAGAGAGGGGGTAACGTCCACTCGACACAAACTGGGTCATTTCGGGATCTGACTTCTCGTGCAAAATCATAGTGATCAGTCTGTCCGTTTGCTTTGTATCCCGAAGGGAGAGAGAAAGAGAAATGGGGTTTAACGTCCACTCGACACAAACTAGGTCATTTCGGGACTAATACATGGTTCAATTTTATTTCAATAATTCGCTTGCGCGTAGGGGTCTTTAGCAGTGGGAAGAAACCGGAGAAAATCCACGAGATTGGACAGGAGACCCTACTCCTTGTCACGTACAACAGGGGAATCGAAACCCCGCGAGTTGACTCAATGACAGACCGTATGATACAGCGCGCGCACGTGCTAACCATTCGCCCCCCCCCCATATTTGAAAAGAACAGTGAACGTGCTTTCTACTGATATGTAGCATGATATCTGGAATTTCGTACTGACACCCGTAATTAGACATTGAATACCCCCCACCCACCCACACACACACACACCTAGTTACTTAATAGAGTTCAGTATTATCCAACTTTGATAGTTTTTCAAGGTAAGTAAATATAAATGTGCCAGAAAATTATTGATATATTTGAAAAGAGAAATAAAAATGCTTTTCGGTGATATATAACATGATATCTGGAATTTCGTATTAAGACCCGTAGTTTTTACTTTGAATACCCCCATCATTTAATAGATTTTTGTACGATTCGTCTTTGATCACCTCTCAAGGCAAATAAATATAAATGTCCTAGCAAATTATTTATATATTTGAAAAGAGCAGTGAACGTGCTTTTCAGTGATATGTAACATGATATCGGGAATTTCGTATTAAGATCCATAATTTGGTAGTGAGGGCCAGCTTGATTCGCGGTTAGTGAAGGATAAATATTCTTAGTGAAAGATGAGGTAGTGAGGGATGACTTGATCTCGTGGCCGCTTCAACATTAATAAATAAAGTCGACAACCCGACATCACGACACCACGACAACCCGACATCACGACATCACGACATTATTACGCGACAATACGAATTTTTACGCGACATTACGACATTCTTTATGTCGTGGTGTCGGGTGAAAATGTCGTAGTGTCGGGTTAAAAATGTCGTGATGTCGTGATGTCGGGTTGTCGTGGTGTCGGGTTATAATGTCGTGATGTCGTGATGTCGGGTTGTCGGGTTGTCGCCTTATGAAGGGCGACACCACGACACCACGACATCACGACATGATACCAATCAGCCACCATAGTTATGACCACGGAAACACGCAAATACACTCGTTGCCATGTTACTTTCTATGGGTTATTTTTCTTTCTTGAGGTGTTGAAGCTAACAGATTAGAATAAACAAAGGGGTGGTTTATAGAGTTGATCAGTATGAAATTATTAGACGAGCTAAGTGAGGTTTGTAAATATTGAGACATTAGACGAGTACCAGTAGGCCATTACCCACAATGTCAATATATTAGAACTTTTATCAGGTAAGTATCGGGGTCGCAGACAGACCAGCGATTCTACTGATAGTTTTACTTTAATTTTAATTTTGTTTCATCTTGTTAAATTTACCATGATCAGTTTGTTGTTCTCCACTATCTGTTGGACTGGTTGACGTTTTTGGTGTTGGACCAGATGATATTTCTGGTACCAGAGTTGTTGTTGGACCAGATGATATTTCTGGTGTCTGCGTTGATGTTAGACCAGATGATATTTCCGGTATCTGAGTTGATGTTAGAAAAGATGATATTTCTGGTGTCTGAGTTGATGTTAGAAAAGATGATATTTCTGGTGTCTGAGATGATGTTAGACCAGATGATATGTCTGGTATCTGGGGTGGTGTTGGACCAGGTGAAGTGATATGATCGGATGAAGCACTGGAAGCTGTTGCCTGATCTATACTTGTATCTGGTCTCGACAGAGTTGGCGATAAAATAATTGGTGTGGTGGGCGTTACAATTATATGATTGCAAAAACCTGTCAATCCTGTACCTGATAAGAGGAAATAAAGTTACGTTAAAACTAGTCAAGTGATGAATCTTTTGCATACTATTATGAACTATCTATTATGAACTAGAATAGAAAAATGGGATAATGTTTCATATTCTTGCTTTGTTTTTTTGTAATTTTGGACCATGGACTGGATTCACACACTTGGTCTTCAAGACAAGTTCGCCTGCGTGAAGAACAGCCACGTGGTTTCTAGCAAACTTCGACTACATCAATACTGTGGTTTCAAGCAAGCTTCGTCTAGACCAACCACGTGGTATCAAGCAAGCTTCGTCTAGTACAAGCTTCATCAAGTTCTGTCGAAAACGGTCCACCGGCAGAGAAGAAGAAGAAGAAGAAGAAGAGAGAAAAGGACGCGTGTGACGCCCATTCCACGCATGGTGCTAGCATCACAGTAAGGCGTGCTTGGTTTTTGGGCAATTGCGCATGAGACAAAGATCCATAATGCTCGATTTCTAGTTCATAATACGCCCGCGCTACAGTATACAGGGACTGGCGGGTTCCAGATTGTTCGTCCAATTCAAATTCATTAACATACGTTATTGTCCTACAATGAAGTTCACACATCTTGATAATGTTTTAATATTTACCTTGTATTTCAATCCATAGTTTAAATAATTACCTTGTATTTCAATCCATAGTTTTAATATTTACCCTGTATTTCAACCCATAGTTTTAATATTTACCTTGTATTTCAATCCATAGTTTTTGTTCGTTTATTTGTCTATGAGTAAATATAATCTCAGCGGTGGTTGTTGTTGGTGGTGGTGTTGGTGTTGGTGTTGGTGTTGATGTGATTGTTGTTGTTGTTTGTAGTCTGTGGTTATAAACTTGTAAACGAGATTGAGGGTTTGCTCCACTGGTTTGATTGTAAGTAATATCGCCATATTGTATAAATAAATTAGATATATTTCCATCATTAGATGTTTTTAATCTAAGATCTAATATTGTTATAAATGTTATGATTTCACCACGTATAGAACATCCACAACCCTCTCCTTTTAAACCACTCGATGCTGGGTAGCCAGGTGAAGATAGAAAGATTTGGGTACTTTGGGATAATTCAAAGTTACTCAGACACACGTCTTTAACATTGTCTCCTGTAAGAAAAATATTATGCATGGTATGATGAATCTTAGTTGTAGAATAACATGCATTAATTGCCTAACGTTGATAATAAAACATAGAGGTGGTGATGTCGGTGTCAGTGTCGGTACCAAGAAATATTCTGTTACAATCTCTATGACTAAAGTCGTCGCTATCTCAATGTGCCAATATGCTGTGAGTTTGAGACAAAACCACTCTATGCAAATATGCATCAGCAATATCAGTGCTTTAATCAAAACGTATAAATCAGGGACAGGGAAAAGACAAGAATCTGCCGAACGATGCCAACTTTACGATATCGGCACATTTTACAGCAATCTTTTCGTCGCTCTGGCTTAACGGCGACTCCCGTCTTTTGAAAGTTGCTAGTCGCCGACAAGCCAGTCGCCGATCGTCACATTTTTCGTTGTGCTTGATTAACGGCGACTGTGATCTAGGAAGTTGAAAGTAAGTTACATGCGCAATGGCTGCTTTTAGATTTTGAAAGGTTTTGATATAGGCTATGTCTGTTCCCCAATGCCTATTCAGATACAAACCTGAATAAAAATATTGTTTATAACAAAAAGGACGCTTTCAGGTTTGTAGAACTTTAGATTGTAATTGTAGGGTTTGGGAGGACTATTAGGTTATTCCACTAATGATGCCCTCCCAATCCCCACCATCACGACTAGTGAAAGATGTTGGTGTCTTTTAAGTATAATTCAGCATAGTCGAGGATGATAACGGGTATGTAAGACTACATTACTTGTCAGACGTGTCAAATTATTATACACTTTGGTCGGAGTCCACATAGATCTCGTGGCTGACATGTCTACCGGTAAATCAGGAACTAATGGCGATATTGTAGCGTTCCAAACTCAAAGAAGAGTAAATTGAAGACGATATCTAAATATGTATACTTACTTTCAATACACCTGTATCTGACTGTACTTCCATTACAATTATTATCATTAGGTATAACTTGTGTACATGGTGATGGTCGTCCAGTACAAGTTGATATTAAACCTGTATCACTATCAGTCAATGGTTGACCACATGTCTGTGACGCCTCTATATTACAATCTGATTCTTGTCTATAAAAATACTGGATACTCTCTATATGTATTATACTGTTTCTTGTAGAACAAGATATATTCAGTGATGGGAAGTTTTCACCATCTTTACATATATTGACATTTATAGATGTTATACCTATACAAAAGAATATATTTTGACTGTTAATTATAACCGAATGTACCTATATATAAGAAAATATATTGGTTGTGTTAACGAAATATTAATATTTATATAAAGTATTCATAAATTTAGAAAATTACGAACATTATCTATACCGCACAGAAATATATTTTCAAAATGATATTGCATTTATTAAAATAACGAACATTAGCTTGACACATGTATTAATAGTTCTAGATCACATGCCTAAATATAAGAAAATATATTAAAAAATATAACAAATAACAAAACATTATCCATAAATCTATAGCAATAAATTTTCAACGTAATATTGCATTTAATTAAAATACTGGTTTGATAATTTGTAGTAAGTCGTGTAGTAAAAGTTATCACGTGTTGTAATCATCAAAATCAAATAGATTGATGAAAGGTCGAAAATGTATTTCAGTTAATACAATAGGGGTAAAGATAAGTTTTATGGCGATCATAAGCAAATATATATATATGATAAACAGATCGATTTATCTTTAGTCCTGGTCAAGATTGTATCAGTGTATTAGGTTTTCGCGGGATTGCTATATAGATTACAGGGTATGAGATATTACAGTGAATGATAGATTGCAGTTGATGGTATATTACGGTGAATGCTACATTGCAGTGAATGATTGATGACAGTGAATGCTAGAGAACAGTAAATGCTAGATAACAGCGAATTGATAGAACAGAGAATCATAGATTATAGTAGATGATAGATTACAGTGAATGATGGATGACAGTAAATGATCGGTAACAGTGAATGATAGATGCCAGTGAATGATGGGTAACAGTGATTATTATATAGAACTGTATAAACACATTAACTTACCATTTACAGACAATATAAAATGGAAGGAAGCAAGGATGGCCACCAAAACCCTCATTATATTTACACATTTACACACGTCCACTGAATATGTCACGCAATAAACATAATATGTGATTAGGGAGGGTTGTACAGAGTTAGCAGGGAAGTATAACACTGTTTGAGCTTGTTGATAGATTAAATATTTCCCCACGATTCACAATGAGACTTTCGCGATCTTGATAACCTTTACCTGTCTTATATGCACACTCACTCAACCATATGATATGATATTACACCAGTACATAGGGACTTGTATATTACAGAGAGAGAGAGAGAGAGAGAGAGAGAGAGACTAGGTCATTTCATTACTAACGTTTGGTTCAGTTTTATTTTATTTCCATAATTCGCCTTAGCTTTGGGAGGAAACTAAAGGGCGCTGGGAAATCCCAAGGGGATGAACAAGCGACCCTATTTTGTCAAGCAGGGAATCGAAACCACACCACTTGACGCAATGACCGAATGTATGATCTAACGCGCACGCGATAAATTATTCGGCTACCCCCCCCCCCACCTCCACACAAATTGTTGGCTATATTACAATCAACAATGAACGTTAATACTCTTTGATATCAAATCGGGATCTTATTATAACATACCAAATTTATATGACAATATTACACGTAATATATTGAACTCAATAACTTTTAGTCGTTAAGGTGTATTATTATAAGTTAGTCGACATATACACAATGTGGGATATATTTTAAACTCAACTTTGCCCTCTTCCTTTTCCCCATAAATTTGTTTGTAGGTAGTGCGGTACTCCTGTACTTACTATTACTGTACAAATTATTGGAAATTACTTTACAAAAAAATTACTTTACGAAACTTCACCTTGACACAGTCATTGACACCTCCTTCGCGCGGGGGATTGGATGGCCGAATGGTTAGCACATCCGTGCTGTATAGTAAGGTCTGCCATTGAGTTAACTGGCGTGGTTTCGAATCCCCGCGGTTGTACGTGACAAGGAGTAGGGTCGCCTGTCCAACCTCGTGGGTTTTCTTCGGGTCCTCCGGTTTCCTCCCACTGCTAAAGACCCCTACGCGCAAGCGAATTATGAAAATAAAATTGAACCATGTGTTAGTCCAGAAATGACCCAGTTTGTGTTGAGTGGACGTTAAACCCCATTTCTCTCTCTCTCTCTCTCTCTCTCTCTCTCTCTCTCCTCCTTCGTGCATATTTGTTATATTTTAACTATTCTAAACGTAATCGTGAAAATTGCATTGCATATATTAGATCCTAGATATCATTGACATTTCTTAACACGGACGATGGAAAAATGGAACATCTTATTGTTGGCTGATCCCTGATAAATCAACACGTAAAATAGGCATTGGCGCCGGAAAACGGTCGGATGGGTTTGAAAAGGTGGTCGGCAAAAGGTATATTTTCCATCTCTAATAATTCGCGAAGGAAGAAAATGATTTTTAATGAAAGGAAAGGGAAGGAAATACAAGAATTAAAGGACGAAGGGGATGGTAAAGGAAAGACAGACAGAGACTAAAGGAAAGCACCGTGGAGAAGATTGTCTGTTTGTCACTTACTATGACCCTGTGTCATGTGACTAAGAGTAGGGTGACCTCGATGTACTTGGTAGAAGTTTATTCAAAGGCCTATTTACATTCTGCACACAGAAGATCCACTTACTTCACACTTCGAGAATAAATCTCTGTCCTTAATGGCCGCCATATCCAAAATTTAGTATATTGTTTTGTATGCGGTCATTTCCGTTTAACATCTGGCATATACACAAAGACTAAATAAACCTATTCAATTCTATTAAATGGAAGCAGAATAAATACATCTCAAAATTCTCAAAATATACTTAGTTTTTTCGTTTAAAATGTCGGTCAACTAGCTTAGTATCTGTTCTCAAGCCGCAGTCAAGCGGAGCTAACTGTAGACAGGCAGCCCAAGTTTAGTATGGCCTATATGTCTGTACAAAGACCTTGAAATAATGAAATAAACTTCTTCGTCGTAAACTTTATAATATAAATCTACACAAATGCAAATCATAAATGTTCATTTTTATAATGCTCTATAAGTATTCATATTATGTTATTTCGTACCTAATGTAACATGTCGTTAATGCAATTGTGTATTGATCTAAATCAATGCAAAAGGATCTGAGGAAAAACGAAGAATGGCTTATTTTAATTTAGCGTATATGTTATGTATAGGATTTGCAGCAGGTATGTATATGTTATATATATAGTAGTGTTACACGACAGGTAGGGTTACACGACAGGTATGTAAAATGTTTTATATTAATTTAGCCTATATGCATATGTTATTTATAGTACTATATGCAGTAGGTATATGTGGCCTATATATTTCAAATATCTATAAGAATGAATGAATGAAATGGGGTTTAAAGTCCTACTGTTCTGCTCCTATACTGGGCTAATGAAGACGGGCATACGCCATACAGTGTGCTATGAGGGAAATTTTGCCCGGGCAGCAGCACTATCGCCTACTCTTATATCGAATTCCAACTGCCAAGGGATCTTTTACGTCCATTCCAATATATACGCGGGACCTCGGTTAATCGTCTCATCCGAAGGACTAGACAGCTGTCCTTGTCAGGCCCTCCGTTCTGCACCAATATCTATAAGTCATTTACCATTGGAGAAAGTCCCGAACACCCCAAGGTACGCTTTAGATCATAAGGTATGGTATTGAGTCAAGTGGTGTGGGTTTGATTAATTGTTTGTATGTGACAAGTAGTAGGTTCGCCTGTCCAACCTCGATGGTTTTCTCGACTAGAGGAAGATTAAAGTGTGTTTAAACACATCTGATCAATCCCCTACTTTCACAACTCAAGGAAGATAAAAGTGTGTTTAAATACAACCAATGACGGGTGTTTAATATTACTGTGCGTGAAAGAAGGGCTAACGACTTGGCCAGAAATATTAGACACCTTTCGTCGGATACCCCTAGATCTTAAGGCCGTAGACGCCAGCCTATGTAGCACCATGGGTCTTCTGTCAGACGTGGAAAGTGGGCAACGCACTAAACCGGTCGCCACATCCGGCGTATAACCCATGCACCCTTTTCTTACTAGATATCTTAGTAGCCTTGTGATCGTCTAGTATTTTCACTTGTCGTCTTTGCTTCCCCTTCACGTTGTGTATTTACTTCTTTTTGTCTATCTCAGTTAAGGCGTTTGTCTTCTCAGTAATTAAGACGTTTGTCTTACCAGAAATATCAATGCAACTGTTCGTTTTTAAATTTTATATATCAAGCTGCTTACATACATAATAGATTACAATAGAGTCATTCTCTCAATCCCAATCCACCCAGACTCGCTGGGGCGAGTCTAGTGATAGAAATTGCTACACCTTTTCCTTCTAGAATCAAGCGGCTGTCTGACGAATGCTCAGAAATTTGATGGTCTTTCAGCTTTGGGTTTTGGACCTTCAATTATCTAATTGGTCAAATATGACGTAATTAATTATAACGATTGGTTACTCAATCCAGATGATGCAATCGTAATTTTCCAATCACCTGTTAAACATGATATTCTCATTCCCACGGCCCAGCTAATGTTTGCCAAATTATAACCCTTTTTATATGTCAACCATTCACTCATTTTCATTTATATGACTTCTATACAATTCTTCTAATTTAAAGAATAAAAATTCCACCAATCTGGCTACACCTATAGGTAATTCCAGTATTGGATAAAGATATTAGTACATTCGTATTGTATAATCCGTAGTTTCATCTCATTTGTTTTGTTTGTAGGTAGTGCAGTCTTCCTGTACTTACTATTACAGCCAATATATTTTCTTTTATATAGGTATAGCATCTATAGATGTCAATATATGTAAAGATGGTGAAAGTTTCCCGACAGTGGATATAGATTGTTCTATAATTAATAGTATAATACATATAGAGAGTATCCAGTATTTTTATAATCATGGATTAAATTGTAGAGCACAGACATGTGGTCAGCCATTGACCAATAGTAGTACAGGTTTAATATCAACTTGTACTGGACAACCATCACCATGTAAACAAGTTATACCTAATGATAATAATTGTACCGGAAGTACACTCGCATACAGGTGTATTGCAAGTAAATATATTTAGATATTGTCTTCATTTTCCCTTTCTTTGAGTTCACAAATTATTAACATTTCAGTGTGTCTTATTTGTACATAAGGTTTTTGATTGAAAACGACTTGTGAAATCTTGTTGAAACGTTGCGATGTAATAAACCAAGTGATTGATATTGTATTCTAGTATTATAATATTAACTCCACTTTCTCATTCTTTGAGTTAACAAAGTTATTATTTTTTTTATTGTACTGAATATACAAGATGTATTATTACAATGAAACAGAAAATGTTATACTAATTATATTCATTACATTATTGTTTTTACAGGAGAGAATGTTAAAGACATGTGTAAGAATAACATTGAATTAAAACAAAGAGACAGAATATTTATATCCTCACCATACTATCCAACATTAGCCAGTGGTTTTACAGAAGAAAGTTGTGAATGTTCTGTACGTGGAATAAATATAACATCTATAACTATATTAGATCTTACATTAAAAACATCTAGTAGTGGAGTAAGATCTAATTTATTTATACAATATGGTGACATAACGTATAATAAAACCAGCGGAGAAAACTCCCAACCTCCTTTACACGTTTATAACCACCGACTACAAACAACAACAGGAACCGTTGAAATTATATTTACTCATAAACAAATAAATGGACAAAAAGTATGGATTGAAATACAAGGTAAATAATAATACTAGGGGAATATATATGAAATATAATATCTGACAAGAATGCATGTCAGGTAGATATGGATGTATTCGTTCTTTCTAACTGTAACAGAATTATGCTTGAGACTGAAATGGGGTTTAACGTCCTACTGTTCTGCTTCAACTGGGCTTATGAAGACGGTCATACGCCATACAGTATGTAAAAGGATCCTTGAAAAACGATTCACGACTTGTGTAGTTATGAAGTTAGTTTATCCTCTTATACGTTTCCAGGTTCAGGTTTGACAGGTTTTTGTGATACAGTGACTGAAACAAGTGCAGCTTTATCTTCTACACATAGTGAGATTTCCACCAGTATAACTGCTGATCCCACTACAGAATGGAGGACAGCTTCCAGTGCTGAAACCATTCATATGACGCCATCTGAAACAACATCAACTCAGTCACTGGAAATAGCATCTGATCCAACATCAAAAACACAAACCAGTCCAACAGACAGTGGGATACGTCAAACTGATAATGGTAAATTTATCTGTTTACTGTCCAAATGATACAAAATAAAGGCACTTACTTTATTGCCATTAACAAAAACATTGAATCGTCCAAATAAGTGTTTATATACTTTTGTCTATAAATTATTTCAGATAAAGACGTCTTGATCATTGTATTGGCTACTATATTATCTCTGACATTTGTACTGGTCATAGTTTTAGCTCTCCTTTACAGGTAAAATTATTGTTAATTGATATTTTTACAGTTAAAATTATTGTTGATTGAAGTTTCATTAGTTCGTTTTATTCTGTATTCTTCTTCTCCTTCCTCTTCTTCTATATTTGATTCAAGACTGTTTATGCCTACCAGTTCTTTGATTGACCGATTTATTTGTTGTTCGTATTTTTTTGGGTTTTTTTTCATTACAGAAAGGGCAAACTAAAGTGTATGAAACAACATGATAATCCGGGTTCTGAGAATCCAAGAACGATAACTCAGATGGAACTAGGTACTAATTACAGTAATCTGTCTAATGTGACCAGAAAGAATACAGATAATACTTACCAGGAATTAAAAACCAGGAACTCAAATTCTCCATATACTAATCTTCCATATTCTAGTAGCAGTGAGATGGAAACAGGTACTAACTACAGTAGTCTATCTGATGGTAACAAACTTGATACAGATAACCATGGTTACCAAGAACTATCTGATGTTAACAAACTTGATACAGATAACCATGGTTACCAAGAACTATCTGATGGTAACAAACTTGATACAGATAACCATGGTTACCAAGAACTACAAACAAGAACCCCCACGTCACCTTATAGCAATCTCCCCTATAGTAGTGAAAATAATACTTAAACATACATTATGCAAGAGCTAAATCTGCCAATTGCAGGTCTTTCTTTAGGCCTGAAATGTTATCTAAATTATTAATTAGATATTAATTAACTTATCTAGACCATAACTCTCGATGCCACCGATAGCCTGCGATATTTCCTGGATTAGAATGCCATCTGCTGCTCAACGCTCATTGATGATTAAATCAAATAGTGGATAACCGAGGCTATGTTTTATCGTTCCGACTTTAGTAATGATGATCGAGGCTATGCCCAAAATTCAATCGCTAAATTCTCTGTTTAGAGTGGATCAATTTGACTGAAATCTTCGGCAAATTTCCTTTACATTATTTAGTTTTTAACTATTATAGTGAGAACTGTCAGCTCTTTATCTAATCTCCCATAATGTATTTTTATACTTATGAATTATTACTTATGAGTGTTCTCGGGGTGCCGTAAAATTGACGGACAATGTATATCGACAATTTCTTTCACGGGAGTTGGGGTGGGGGGGGGGGCGAAGGTAGCTTGACCGGGACATCGTGGAACCTGTTACTGACGCCTTCTGAGTTTCATCTATTTCCATCGTTAGTAGGCCTACATTCCAAAGGCAAAAAAATCCCTAGAAGTCCAATTAAAATGACATCTAGTGGAAACATCTCCGAGACAACACCTGGTATCTTTGATAGAACTTTTTCAAATAAAATATCGGCGATATAACGTTTGATAGCTCTGTGAGGTATTCGTATGAAAAGTGATTAGGTGAACTCATGTAGGCCTAAGCAAGGTCGGATTCAAGGGAGTTGTGCCTGGTGGATTGCAGCCGGGGGTGGGGGGATATTAAAGGCCCCCCTCTAATTAATCCCACCACCCCAACAATGTCCCCATTATAAATGAATACATATACTATGTAATATATATTAGTGTCAAATAAATATATCTATCTATCAGGGAGCCACGGTAGCTAGGTGTTTAAGACGCTGGCTCGCTAGCCTGGAGGTCGGGTGTTCAATCCCTGCATTGGTCGAGAAAATTCATTAGGATTTTCCGACGTGGTTTTCCCTTGTCAGTGGTGCAGCTGTCTAGGCCTTCGGATGATACGAAAAACCGAGGTCCCGTGTATACATTGGAATGCACGTAAAAGATCCCTTGGCAGTTGGAATTCGATATAAGAGTAGGCGATAGTGCCTCTGCCCGGGCAAAATTTCCCTCATAGCACACTGTTGGCGTCTGCCCGTCTTCATTAGCCCAGTATAGGAGCAGAACAGTAGGACGTTAAACCCCATTTCATTTCATTTCATCTATCTATCATACTGACATACAAATTGCATTTGTGTGAGTGTAATTGGCATGGACCAGAATGTGCCCCCCTTTTCACTGCTGGTGCAAGGGCCCCAGTGACCTTTTCAGCCAGGGACACCCTGCAAGCTTAATCCGACACTGTATGCAAATGATAAGACGTATATCACAAACGACCATCATACCGGTACCTTAATTCCCCCTTTTAGATATTTAAAAAATATATACTGAAAGTTGATTCAATTTGATAAGCTATCACAATTTACCCAAAGAACGGTACCCTGTATATTATCAAATATAGATATAAATTATTGTGATATGAGTTGAAATAATGGTGTATTTGGGTAGATTTGGGCAAATCGTGCTCATCATTAAAATCTGACTTTCATGATATTTCAATGTGAAAACACCTATTTTATTTTCGGAAATAGTTCATCCAGATTTTCCGGCGTGGTTTCCCCTTGTCAGTGATGCAGGACAGCTATCTAGTCGTTCGGATGGGACGAAAAACAGAGGTCCCGTGTACATATTGGCGTGCATGTAAAAGATCCCTTGGCAGTTGGAATTCGATATAAGAGTAGGTCGTAGCGCCGCTGCCCGGGCAAATTTTCCCTCATAGCACACTGTATGGCGTATGCCCGTCTTCATTAGCCCAGTTTAGGAGCAGAACAGTAGAACGTTAAACCCCATTTCATTTCATTTTCGGAAATCCACGTTGGGGTGGGGGTGGGGGGTGGATGGCTGAATGGTTAACACGTGCATGCTGTATCATCAAGTCTGTCATTGAGTCTACTGGCGTGGTTTCGAATCCCCGGTTGTACGTGACAAGGAGTAGGGTCGCCTGTCCAACCTCGTGGGTTTTCCCCGGGTCCCTACGCGCAAGCGAATTATTGAAATAAAATTGAACCATGGGTTAGTCCCGAAATGACCTAGTTTGTGTCGAGTGGACGTTAAACCCCATTTCTCTCTCTCCCTCTCTCGAAATCCACGTTTGCGTAATCCAAATACACGTTTTTCCAGAAACTGCTTGGTCCACCTAGATAATTTAGAGTAACCGGAAGTACTTTTTTCACTTTGTGTCATGGCCGTCACTAGAAATTATTTGCTAACATAACAACAAAATTTTTGGAAAACAAGAGTCATGAAGAACTTTTCACGAACTTCTGCCCCTGGGTCGACACCAAAAGACAAACGAAAATTTTCTGTGGTGGAAATTGCGTTAATGAGCAGAGTTGCCATTTTATTCATCCAAGTCGTTTCAAATTTTCTAATCCCAGACCACGACGCGAATGTTTTCAACCCACCAAATGACCCAGCAAGTGTTTCATCAACAAGTGACAAATTGATTGAACTTATTTTCGGTGGTTTTAAGAGATGGGATGCTGTTTATTTTCAACATGTCGCAGAGTATGGATATTCGTATGAGAATACGTTGGCCTTCTTCCCTTTATTTCCAGTGCTAACTAGACTAATTGGAAACACAATTTTGTTACCACTGCAATGGCTCATGTCCTACTCCAGCGTTCTGCTGACCAGTGCTTTTCTGTTGAATAACTTTTTATTTATAAAATCAGCACAGATTTTGCATAAATTGGGACTAAAAGTTTTAAATGAAAAACAACTGGCTTACAAGGCGGCTGTCATTTTTTGTTTTAATCCCGCCAGCGTGTTTTTCTCGGCCCCGTATTCCGAGAGTCTCTACTGCTTCGTTCTCCTCATATGTCTTCACACAATGACAGCAGAGTCTCCGATCGTTCCAGCGTTCTTCGTTGGACTTGCTGCACTCGCTCGATCAAATGGTTTAGTTGCTTTCGGTTTTATTGTTCACTACCTGCTTAAAGATTATCTAAAGGAGATGCAAATGAATTTGAAAGCGCGTCTCAATTCTACAGACTCCAGAATTATTAATACCGTGATAACTATATTTACCACAGCAAAGTTAATTTTTGTTAGTTTGTTGTCGTTTTTGCCGTTCTTGACATATCAGTATTACAGTTACATTCTGTTTTGTAATAATGAGCCGTCTAGCAAAATTCCAAATCATATTGCCATATATGGACGAAGTAGGGGCTACCATCTATTAGGGGATGCTCCATCACCATGGTGTTATGACATCATCCCTTTATCGTACAGCTACATACAGAAGCATCACTGGAATGTAGGATTTCTAGCTTACTACGAAATAAACCAAATTCCTAATTTTTTGTTAGCTGCTCCGATAATCATCATAAGCGTCTGCTGCTGTATTTGTTATTTTAGTTTGAACAAAAAAACGTGTTATACTCTCGGACTGTACGACACACGAGCAGAATCTCGAAAGAAATCTGATGGCGATGAAATAGAGCAAGATTATGGATTTAAAAATCAGGAACTCTTCGTCTACTGTGCACATTTATTATTTTTGATTTTATTCGGAGTGTTTTTCATTCACATTCAAGTTCTCACAAGATTGTTGTGTTCCTCGTCCCCTTTAATATATTGGTATATTGCCTACCTGATAACAGACGATTTAAAGCCGGCACAGACCATTAACAGATACAACGTATTCGCAGCGTGCAAGTCTGACAGCAAGAAAGAACCTAATGAAAACTCTGTAGACGATATTATCACACAATTAACTAATTTTAGACAGCAGAATATTTATTTTAAGCTGATTACTCTTTATTTTATTGGTTACTTTGTATTAGGAACTGTTGCATTTTCAAATTTTTTACCTTTTACATAAACTCTGGTAAACTTCAGTCTTGTCGTTAAATAAGATTAAGCATTCATCCTCTCCTAAACTCATCTCAGTGTGGAAAATAGAGTAAACATTTATGATATACTTTATAGTCTTCAAGTAGAACATAATCTAAGATAAAGTTTATTCTCGCAAATCGAAATTCATTTTTTTTTCCAAATACAAGCAATGTTAGATTTACCTGCAGGCTGAAGCTTAGGACCTCGAGATCTAAGGGGCCTTCATCCAAGAGTTTTAATGAAAAGAAATGAAATGGGGTTTAACGTCCTACTGTTCTGTTTGTATACTGGGCTAATGAAGAGGGGCATACGCCATACAGTGTGCTATAAGGGAAATTTTGCCTGGGCAGCGGCACTATCGCCTACTCTTATATCGAATTCCAACTGCCAAGGGATCTTTTACGTGCATTCCAATGTATACACGGGATCTCGTTTTTTAGTCTCATCTGAAGGACTAGACAGCTGTCCTTGTCAGGCCCTCCGTTCTGCACCACTGACAAGGAGAAACCGAGTCGGAAAATCCTGATGAACATTCTCGGCCAATGCAGGGATCGAACCCGACCTCCAGGCCAGCAAGCCAGCCCAAGAGTTTTAATATTTGTACATGGTACTTTAGCCTTGGCTTAATATAGCTAACCTCAAGCGTCTAATTTGTGGTGTGTTTTTTTTATTTTTAGATCTTAGAAAGATCATATTAAATAATTTTATAAGATTATTTATTTTGTACATTTCATATTTGTGTCCACAAATTTAATGTGGGAGTATATTGTCGTCAATACAGGCCTTCTTGTTGACAATCCATTATTCACCAAGAACATGTGGAAGCATATTGTCATCAATCCGGGTATTCTTGCCGTCAATTCATTTGTCACCAGACCATTCATGACCACAAATTGACAATGCACATTACCCCCTCCCCCCTCCCATGAGACTCCTTGACAGCAGGAATTTGAAGATTAGGGGCAAATTTTCCCTCCTTAGCATTACATGTAACCATAGTAACCATTACTGTACATTAGTCTCAAAATTATAAATTCTGGCGATTATCAAAACTTTGTCTTCTCCAGGGAGCCGTGGTGACTCAGTGAGTTCGGCAGTGACTCACTAACCAGGAGGTTCCGGTAAGGGCTGAGTAAGGGCCTCAATATTTTCCAGGTGGGGTTTTCCTTGATGCAGGAAGGAAGTCCTGGCAAGCAATTTGATTAAAACACAGATCCTATTTTGTTTCGTTTTTTATAATTCAAAATTTATCTTTACTTTACGAGGATCCGGAAGAGTTGTTATATAACCCGTGTTCTGGATGATGTAGAAAGATTATCCAATGAAATGCTCTGTTATGACAAGTTTGTGTGAGATGCACGGAACTGAGGGTAACCCACTAGAAACATGTTAACTCATGAAAGCCGTGCTATAAATATAAAAAAATATATATAATGTGTCCATCAAGATTTAAATAAATTAAAACATCAGTGGTGCAAAGACAGAGGGTCCAGCAAGCTACAGCATTGAGTTGTTCAGATGGAATGAAACCATTGGCAACATGTTAAAGCGAGGGCGAAATAGGTTTTTTAATGTTCACTCTTGACACACATTATGTCATTTTGGGACTTACACATGGTTCATTTATATTTTAATAATTGCTAATAATTTAGCAGTGGGAGGAAACCAGAAAAAAACCACCAGGTTGAACGGGCAACCAGATTCCTTGTCACGTACAAGTGGGGAATTGAAACCATGCCACTTGACTCAATGACAGACCTTGTGATTTTACACGCACACGTTTACCATTCGGTCACCCAACCCCCCGGCATGTTAAACAGCCTCCGGCATAAGAAGAGGTTGACAAAATTTTATTTCTATCATACTGCAAGGCATAAGGCTGTCTTCTCTAGGCTGGGTCGATCCTGGTGTTGGCTGAGAAAGGTCACCCAGCTTCTCTGGCGTTGTTTCCTCCTTGGCAGTGGTGCCGGACATAGGTCCTAACAAGAACAGCTGTCTAGTCATTTGGAAAGGACAAAAAAACATGGTCCCGTGTACACATTGGCGTGCACGTAAAAGATCCCATGACAGTTGGAATTCGATATAAGAGTAGGTCGTAGCGCTGCTGTCCGGGCAAGATTTCCTTATAGCACACGCTCCCCTTTGTTAGCCCAGCCGTAGCTTAAACCCTATTTCATTCATTCACTAGGCTTGATGGTCCAGAATAATAGGACCTTTAACTAAACTCCATTTTATTTTGATTTTAATTTTATCTTCTATATTAACAATGTTCATCAGTATTTCATTTCAGTTCTGTCATATGTTAAAAATTTCCCGCTGTCTTCCATCTTTAAACTGTCAATGACTTTAAGGAGACAATCCACTGAATATTCTGTTGTAAACAGATTCGGCACATTTTTATGATAAGGTCGTGAAAGGTCAGTATTGACCGTGCCAGGATGTAGCGAGACACAGATCACACGATTTTTCCCACGTCCTAATTCAATGCTGAGATTCTTGGTCGCCATATTTAAGGCAGCTTTAGCCATACGATAACTATACCAACCCCCTAAACCTGAAATTGAAAGTGTAATTTAATTGAAAGTAGTGTTAAATTAAAAGTAGAGTAAAGAATTCACACCCATACCTAGAGAAAATCATTTTCACAATATGTCAAAATAAACTGGGCTAAAGAAGATGGAGATCATACTGTTTCCTAACCAGTAGACTCGTATTAAATTTTAGTATCAACTTCATCCCTAATATTCAAAAATGAAAATGAAATTACCGTTATCAGTTATTGAGCCAACCTTGGCGGACATATTGACTAATACTGCTGCGTGTGTTTTCTTGGATTCTGAGTCTTGCACACCGAATGAACCGTTACCTTTTGTTAACAGAGAACTGAAATATTTAGCCATTAATAGAGGACCAGCCGTATTAACTGCTATAGTATTCATTATTCCCTGTTAAAAAATAGAACACTGAAATTATAATATTAAACACCAGGTAAGAGTTATTCCCCTTTAGTCTTCAAATATTTAACCCATAAAGGACACAATGTTTTAACTGCTAGCTATAAAGTATTCCCCAAAACCACAAAATTATACACCCAGTAAGAGTTATTCCCCTTTAGTCTTCAAATGAAATGGTGTTTAACGTCCTATTGTTCTGCTCCGACTAGGCTAATAGACGGACATACACCAAACAGTTTGCTATGAGGGAAATTTTGACCAGGCAGCGGCACTATGGCCTACTTTTATATCGCATTCCTAATTCCTACTGCCAAGGGATCTTTTACGTACACGCCAATGTACACACAGGTCCTCTGTTTTTGTTCCATCCGAATGACTAGACAGCTGTCCATGTCAGGTCCTCCAACCCTGCACCACTGACAAGGGGAAACCACGGCAAAATCGGGATGAACTTTCTCGGCCAATGGAGGGATCGAACACCCACTTAGCCACCGTGACCCCCCATTTAGAGCTGGTCATTATTGCTATAATAGTTCAAAAATAGATAATGAGAAATGAATATATTGAAATTATCAGTCAAATTACTTTATTCTGGGCAAAGCTATGAGTGTTTGAAGTTTTGAGAAGATGTAACGTAGATGGTTTATTATCGTAACAACGGCACCTAACAATCAAGACTTTTATCGTTAAACTTTTAAACGATGGTGGTGTTCTAATCAACTTAAAATCGGAGCCAATCGATAGTCTAGAGAGTTGATTATGGGCTTGTGTGAATAAATGTTTAAATAATAATTTATATAGGTAGATAGAGATGGGCGATTTCACCAGTTATCTCTTTTAGCAGTTACTAGTTTCTTTCAGAATTGAACTCTTCAGACTGATTTATCTCACTTAATGAGGTTCTATATATAGTGTGTGGAAACCTACTTACTTGCAATCTCTGTCAAAAACAGTACGTAGGAGAAACGAAAAGATTGTTTCGAATTAGACTTAAAGAACATTAAGCTGATATCACCCACAAGAGAGACACCCCAGTCACCTCTCACTTCCACCTACCGAGTCATTCTAGTCGAAACCTTGACTACCAAATAATTAAATAATTAGGTACCAATCCTGACCTCCAAAAATCTACAACCAATAGACGCACCATTGAACTTCATTGGATCATTAGATTGAAAACCCTCCAACCACACGGTATCAATGACAAAATCTGAACTTGGGCATCCCCCTTTTTTTCTTTTGTTAATAATTTATATAACATGAGAAGCCAGAAAAAAGACCTGCAATCGGTAAATTTAGCTCTTATATAAACCATATTAAATAAGAATGCAAATATTTTCAATCAACACTTTCATCTGTAACCCAAATCAACGGGGTGTAAAGCATACCTCTGCAGAAACATCTCGTAAACTCGTCTCTCCACGTCCACTTGGATGTAATATGGCAGATGAATTAATCAACAGATCTAATTTATCAAAGATTTTAGGTATCTCAGTCGATGTCTGTTGAACCTCTGATTCTTTTGTCACATCAATTTTATAAATATGGAGAGATGTGGGATAATCGTTTTTCAATTTCTGAAGATCTTCAGCAGAATCTGGATTGCGACATGTTGCAATTACTGTAGCATCCTTTGATCGTTTTAATAAACTTTTACAAAACTGAAGTCCAATTCCTCGGCTTGCACCTTGTATCAAAGAGACCGACGTCATTATGTGAATAAACTGTAAAAAAACAAACGGTCATAAATAATATTTAAAGCCCTAATATCAAGCCTGGAAATAAAAGTTTCGACTGGGCTAATGAACATGTGCATACACCATACTGCAGTAGGCTATAAGGCCTACTTTTATATTGAATTCCAACTGCAAAGGGGTCGTTTACGTGAATGCAAATGTCTACACGGGACCTTGGTTATTGGTTCTCTCAGAATGACTATACGGTGTCCCTTGCCTGGCTCTCCGTCCTGAACCACTGACAAGGTGGAACCTTGCCCGAAAATTCAGATGTACTTTCTCAGTATCGAGCATGGGACCTCCAGCACCAAAGCCTGGAAAAAGACATCTGTTACAGACGATGTCATGCACTATCCTGTGTGTGTTTTTTATTATGTCTGACACAGGTCTTGTATCAGTGTTTTAGTGATATTTTTAAAACATACCCCACACAAAGTTAAAAATGTCAAGTAGGCCTACAAGTTCATGAGTGACTGACAGTTGGCAAGTAAACTCTTGACGGGTGCCAGTGAAGTCGTCCACAAGCAAAGTTGTCCACAGTGAAGTCGTCCACACCCATTGGTGGAGTCGTCCACAAGGCATTGGTGATGTCGTCCACAACTATTGGTGATGTCGTTCACAACTAAGAATAAGACTCATACACAATTTACTCGTACTCAACTATTGGTGATGTCGTCCACAACTAAGAATAAGACTCGTACACAATTTACTCGTACTAAAAACGCCGATGTTATTGTTTGTTTTGTTAGTTTGTTGTTCACCGATGTTTTTGCAATGAAGTAAACTTGTATTGTTTGTTAATTGGCGTTATGGTTTTAGCATTTTTGATTGATAGATTAGTATTAAAGGGATTTTCCCGAATTTCATAGCATCTGAGAATTACAAGTTCGTGTACGTATGAATTTTATATAATTAAACGCCAAAATATAGAGGAATTGTGTATTTACCTTGCCTGAAAAGTTCAGTTCAAAATATTGAGTCGTTTGGACGACTCCACCAACGATTGTGGACGACTCCACCAACGGGTGTGGACGACTTAACCAGATTTTTCGTGTGGACGACTTTGCTTGTGGACGACTTGACTGGCATTCCTCTTGACAGCCATCATCCACCAAACAAATGCATCAGACTATAATTTGAGTTCATCAAATGAATGAATCTGTATGCTGACATTCGGTGTAATTACTCTGTCAAACAGAATAAAGTCACTGCTGATATTGCACACTCGACTGGTTTCACAACCCTCTTTGTTTGGCTAGTACTGATCGAGTTGGATTAGTAAAAATAAACGTTATGCAACTGACTTTCCTCAGGGTCAAGAAGAAATCAAAACAAACCCTGACAATCAAGCCTACTTCCGCTCAATAACGGAAGTAAATTAATCCAATCCTAACGGTCCTACCGTTTGGCTTATAAATATTGACAAATGAAATGGTCTGTTACAATTGTTCAAAATAGGCGCCATCTTTGATTTTGGATGTGTCCACTTCATTAATTCAAATTTACAGATGTTTTCTTTAAATTTAAATAAATGATCCTAATATTTTCAAAGATTTGTAAAAGTTTGATGTCGAAGCAAATGATATTTGTGTTTTGTAAGTGAATATTGAGTCATTAGTGAGAAACTGCACTTCAAGCTAACGGTCAAGTTCGATTCATATGACCTATTTTTTTTTTTACCGTTTTTTGTCTTTCGCTCATTATTTTGATTTCACCTCAGTACTGAATATTTCTGTGCTATTCCCTACCCTAATAGCTCAGGTCGTATAGAGAGTAAACAAATAGTCCACATGTTTTGACTTTGTTGAGCTGGGCGTCATGTCATTGAGTCAACTGGTGTGGTTTCGATTCCCAGGTTGTAGGCATACATTACAAGGAGTAGGGTTGCCTGTCCAGTCTCGTGGGTTTTCTCTGTGGCCTCCGTTTTCCTCCCACTGCTAAAGACCCCTACGCGCCACCGAATTATTGAAATATAGTTGAACCATGTGTTAGTCACGAAATGACCTAGTTTGTGTCCAGTGGAGTTTAACCCCATTTCTCTCTCTCTCTGTCTGTCTCTTTCCCTCTCTCCCTTTGTTGAGTTTCACTAGGCTGTAGGCCTACTGTGTAGGCTAGCATGTCATTGTCATGTAACGGAATATAAAAGAAAATGATTATTTACTATTTTATATTATTATATTACAGGTCTGATCTTTTAATATGAAGAGAAAGGGAACAATTAAAACATATGGGCGACATCGAATGAGAGTAGTAGCTGTGGAAGGATGGAGCTCGGATGATGAAAAACAGAAACATGTTTTTAGTTTTAATAATTCTTCATCACATGAATCTAGCAATAGTTCAGGAGGAAATGATAGTTCCTCATTTATCCCAAGAATAACCCGCAGCACAAGGTAAGACATATCCACCCTTGTCCCATTATCTACATTGCGTTGGTCGCTGAGGCGCTAAATTCTGTTAGTCTGAAAATGACCAAAGTTTTGTGTTGATGAGACATAAAGTTGACATTAAAAAAAAGAGTACTGTATGCAGAAATGTGACAATACAAAAATTAACGGTAAATATTGTGTTGAAGAGACATTAAAACCCCAGTTACATTTAGATATTCAGTCCCCTTTTCTCTGATTTGTTAAAAATAAAAGAGAATGAATAGTTACCTATTCATACCATTCCCCCCCCCCCCTTTCTGACTTTCTCTGATTTTGAATGAATTTGTGTATTTTTATTTATCTACAGGAAGAAGTATGTAAACGAAAAACAAAGTCAAAATAAAGAAAACAATTTTGCCAGGTCACGAACAGCTAAATATAGTTATAGAGGCAACTCCTCGGTAAGAACAATCTTCAGGATTAAAACACAGATCTTATTTCATTTTTTTTTTTATAGCTCAAAATTTTGTTTGACTTGTCTTTATCTCATCTGGAAGAGTTGTTATATAACTCAGGTTTTGGTTGATGTGAGGGATAAGTCAATGAAACAGTCTGTTGCAGCGAGTTATTGGCAGCAATGCACGGAACTGTGGGCATACTACCCGAAACATCAACGCTGATTGGTTAATCAAATGTCTGACGCCATAGGGTCAAAAACCTCATGTATGACCCATGACGCGACCTCCCACTACAACTGGTCAGATCTTCATGTAGTACTAGTAGAGGCAAAAATGAAACAAAATATAGATCTGTATTTTAATCGGATTGCTGTAAGAATTATATTTAAACTGTTCATTAAATTTGTTCTGAATGTCGGGAACCCAATTATTATGATAATAATGGATGGATTTTATGATCAAACAGTTGCATCCAGTTCTTGAATATTCTTGCATTCCAGTCAACCTGCTAGATGTAGGCTAAATAGGTACCATGAGGATCGTGTATGGAATTATACTAAAAAAAACCTGTTTTTCTCTGGACAACACATGTTAGGCTCTCTCTAAGAATTAAAGAGTTCAGGGGGATAAATGGGGGTAATCAGGATCAGACTTTGGTGTGGATAAAGCATATTACATATATACACATTATTATTATTAATATCTGTTAAACTGAAATAAAAAGTCGTTAGTCATTCGAAGGCGGTGGTTTGGTGAATATTGTGCTGGCTCAATAACCAGGCAGGGAACCACAATGGCTAAGTGGGTAACATGCTGGCTTGCTATGCTGGAGGTCAATGTCTAATTCCTGCATTGTCCGAGAAAGTTCATCAGGATTTTCTGAAGTGGTTTCCTCTTGTCAGTGGTCCAGGAAAGAGGGCCTAACAAGGAAAACTGTCTAGTTGTTCAGATGGGATAAAAAACCAAGGTCCCATGTATACATTGCCGAGCACGTAAAAGATCCACAGAGTAGGCCATAGTACCGGGTCCGGGCAAACTTTCCCTCGGCACACTGTATGGCATATGCCCGTGTTCATTAGCCCTGTCGGTGCAGAACAGTAAGACATTAAACCCCAATCATATCATTTCACTATCCAGGCGTTACTCAGAATTTTTAATTCACGATTTCCTGTCTCAATAGGGTCTCTGATAGGGAAAACTTTCTCTCGTATTACACTGCATGGTGTATATATCTCTCCCGTAAAAAGGCAAAACCTAGTAACTCACTTTTTTATCAAAATTGAGTTAGGACCAAATTTGTAGTTACTAGGGTATGTGCTTCCTGTTGTTGTACTAGATATTCCAATCTTTTGATTTTGTAAGCAATTACACCCATGACACAACCTAGCAACTTCCTTCATTTGCCTAGTATACCACAGCAAAACCTAGTAACTCAATAGTCAAATCAATGGATGACCTGGGGTTTAATATTCATTCATTACGTTTTCCTTTGTTTTCTCAAAATAAGAAAAAAGTGAGTTACTAGGTTTTGCCTTTTTACGGGAGATCTACCAATCTTCATTAGCTCAGTCTTTGAATAAAAGTAGGACATTAAACCCCATTTCATTGCATCTGTTAGTCCCGACATGACCTACTTTGTTTTCAGTCGATGTTAATGTCCCCCCCCCCCCCCACTGACTTTAATAAAGTTGTAAATATTTTGTTATTTCAGGATAGCGATTGTGAAGTTCGGAGACCAGGATTACGTGATAGCACTAATAAATATAATTCCCGACCCAACACATCAACCAGAGTGACGTCAAAAACTAGCAAATCTCTCTTTCAATCTGTACTTAAAAAGAATACACCCAAACCCAAAAGTAATGAAAATTCATACGACTTCAGTGAACTAGAAGAATACAGTCTACTGGTTGTCTCTGATGGTTCAAAGAATAGTTCCACAACAGCTGCACAAAACCTTAGAGTTCCAGACCAAGCCGGAATCGACACTAGTACTCCGTGTCGAAAAACTGCCATTAAAATAAACAATTGTGATATATCTCATATTGAGGATCTTCAAGACAGTCCGATTTCGACAGACAGATCTCCGTGTATACACGATCCAAAATCGACAACACCGCAATTAGATTTTTCAAGTATTGCTGCTAGTCCATCGTTAGACGAGGAATCGGAAGAAGCCACCAGATCTGAACATATTTCCAACATAGAAGAACTCTCAATCGATGACTCCTCGTTGAGTGATAAACCGCTCGCTTCCATAAACAAACACTTACAGGTTAATAAGCGCACAAGGAACCAGTTATCGCCGAGTCCATTAGCGCTACGAAGTCGAAGTAATTACGATAAAACACAAAGCCTGTTTGATTCTCCCGATCTTTCAAGGCATGCAAAAGTGCAGAGAGTAAGTCCCGAAGATCTAAAGTGTTATATAGATCTGAGTCGCCTTAAGGATAGTTTTATTACCAGACACACGCGAAGTTATGATAAATCTAAAAGTCTTTTCGACAGCAGCGGTAGTAGTAGAAGCAGCAGAAGTTCTCGTCCAGGTGGCAGTACCGGTCGATTGTCGCCTCCATTAGAAAGGGAGTTAACTCTAGATGATACAGAACTTGAAACGGAGGGAGAAGAATTAAGTCATATTATAGAAGAAGATGAAATTAGTAGCGATGATGAGGTGGATAATGATGATGAAAATGATAGTGATTATGTCGATGATGATGATAATGATGATGATGTCGATGATGATGATGATGAAATTGTCTGTGATGATGATAAATTACAAGAGTATTATAAGGGCACAAATGATGAAGATCTGGAAGTGACGCGGTATACCCTAACAGATCTTGCAATTGAAGATGGTGACGAAAGCTCGGAAGAAGACGACTGCTCCTTGGTCAAAAGTGGAAGCCTTGATCCAATATCAGAAGAGGATGAAGAAAGCATGGAGGAGTCCATAGAGTATCATTCTGACAAACATTCATCGAAATTATCTCAGAACGAAAGTCAATCAGAAACGGAAGAAATGTTTCACACAGCCACAGACATGAGTCACAAAGTTCCTGAAAATTCTAGACTTTCTGACCTCAGGAATGAGTCAAAGTCTTGTCTTAAACCTTGCTACACACCAACTACAGCCAATTTATCGAGATCTTTTGTTGTAAGTATTTATCGAGATCTTTTGTTGTAAGTATTTATCGAGATCGAGATCTTTTGTTGTAAGTATTTATCGAGATCTTTTGTTGTAAGTATTTATCGAGATCTTTTGTTGTAAGTATTTATCGAGATCTTTTGTTGTAATTATTTATCGAGATCTTTTGTTGTAAGTATTTAAAGTCTGCAGCACACCAAATAAACTATGCAGGACAGAGGGCCTGACAAGGACAACTGTCTAGTTGTTGGGATGGGACAAAAAATTGAGGTTCCGTGTATACATTGGCATGCACGTAAAAGATCCCTTGCCACTGCTTGGGGAAAATTTCCCTCATAGCACACTGCATGGCGTATGCCCATCTTCATTTTCCCAGTCGGAGGAGAACAGTAGGGCGTTGAATCCCATTATATTTTCATTTCATTTCCACATACTTATGAAAGAACAATTACCAAATTATTTGGGCGCTGATTCTAAGAGTATTCTTTCAGCACTTGTATGTTCAGGTATAATTTACCTCAAAGCGTATGCCCAATCTCTTAGTTGGTGCCGAAAAGTAGGATGTGTTTACAGTTGCCAGACCAACCAACCCTATTTTTGAAGCAAAAATTGTGGACCCCAAACCTTTTTACTCTCATTCCTCCTTCACTATAATACCGTTTTGGATTGTTTTTCTGTGAACAAATTCCGACACTGATACATTGTTATTATTTCCAAAAACCTTGCTCTGTAATTAAGCTAGAAATGCTAGAAAATGGATAATACAAAACCCATGAACAAAAAAGATTTTTCCATCCCACTGACCCTGTTTTTGGCAGCAAATTGACAATAAACACAGGTACATAAAATCATTTCTTGGCCTAAACACTGTTTCATTTTTATTACGGACAATATCTAGAGATATTTACTTGGATGTGTTACAGGAAATGCTGACACCAAATAAAAAGAAGGGATCTATTCCAGATTCTCCAAAATCTAAAATATTATCTCAGTGTCAACAACAGAGGATTGTATCCTTTACCGACTGTATACCCCTAAAGTAAGTTATAATTTCTTTCGAGGGGTATTGGGTAGCCGAGTCTTCAAACTGTGCACGTTGTATCATAAAATCTGTCATTGGGTCAACAACCGTGGTTTCGATTCCCCGGTTGCACGTGACAAGGAGTAGGGTCGCCTGTTCATCCTCGTGGGTTTTCTCCAGTTCCTCCAGTTTCCTCCCACTGCTAAAGACCCCAACACGCAAGTGAGTTATGGAAATAAAATTGAACCGTATGTTAGTCCCGAAATGACCTAGTTTGTGTCGAGTCGATGTTAAACCCCATTTCCCTCCCTCTAATATGAGGCTGTTGGGGGGGTCTAATGCATGCGCTTTAGATCATACGGTCATTGAGTCAAGTGCCATGGGTTTTCTCTGGTTTCTTCCCATGTTGTAAGCAAATTATTGAAATAAAATTGAACTGTGTGTTGGTCCCGAAATAACATAGTTTGTGTTGAGTGGACAGTAAACCCCATTTCTTTCTCTCCCCTGTCATCTATGTAAAGTAGTGAGTTTGAACCCATGTATCCATGTACTGAGTTGTGGGATAGGCTGTGTAACCTCATGGGTTATCTCTTGTAAAATTGCTTTTGAAAATAAGAGGCTAAGTATAATGCTTAAAGTATATTGCGTTCATATTCAATAAAGGGAGATAATCATTTTCAGTGGCAAATAACTCTGAAATCGCTTGTCTATCATAAATGTATTAAAGGAAGAAATATTCTTTAATTATCGTGGCTCAGTGAATAAGGTGCTGGCTCGCTAAGTTGTTTTCCCTTGTCAGTAGTGCAGGAAAGAGGGCTTTGGTTTGGTTTATTTCCAGTACAGTCTTGGGCGCGTTAGTCAAATGACATGGTTTCAATTCTCTGCTTTTATGTGACAAGGGGTAATGTTGCCTGTCCAACCTTGTTGGTTTTTGTCTGATCCTCGGTTTCCTCCCATTGCTAAAGATCACCGTGCAAATGAATTATTGAACTATAAGTATAATTAAACCCAGTGTTAGTCTAATTGATCTAGTTTGTGTCAAGTGGACATTAAACCTCATCTCTCTCTCTTGCTGTACATGATACAGGATGTGTTATATCTTTATACAGGATGTTGAACGAATGTACGAAGATAGGGGAAGGAGTTTATGGAGAAGTGTTTAGAGCTTTTAGAAATGGTAAATCGGTTGCTATTAAGGTAAGAATAATAATATAGTGAAATGCAGTGTAACGACCCACTCAGTATTATGGACAACTCATGTATACGACCATATTTTATAAGAACCAATTTTTATACGCCGACATGGAAATGTGGTGGTATATTGCCGTTGGTCCGTCTGTCCGTCAGTACGTCGTCCACAATTTTTTGTGAACACTCTACAGACTACATTGATCATCTGATTGTTTTGAAATTGATATATGTTGTTTGCATTAGTAAGACGAAGACGCCTATTTAATTTAATAACTTCCGTTAATTTCTTCTGGAGTTATGGCCCTTGTTTCACTTTGTTGTACATTGTGAATGCTCTGACGACAAAAGTTATTATCCGATCTGTATGAAATTTATATGTATCATTTAAATTAGTAAAAAGAAGTCTATTGTATGATCTGTATGAAATTTATATTTGAATAAGTAATAAGAAAAAGCCTGTCGAATTTCAACAATTTCTGTAGATTACTTCCAGTGTTATGGCCCTTGTTTTAGCTTTAAGAACCTTGTGAACGAAAATTATAATGTCATCTGTATGAAATTGTCTATTAAATGCCCCTAATTACCTACAAAAGAATAAATGTGCAACAACTCTTGTCAACCGCTCGGACGATTTAGCTGCTGTGGGCGTATGTTTTGTTGCCTGGCAACCTATCTTTTTCTTCTATATTCCTTTTATGTACTGATCACTCCATAAAACTAATGTATTTATCACACCTTGAAACTATGTACTTATCACTCATGAAACTATGTACTTGTCACACCTTGAAACTACTGTATGTACTTATCACTCCATGAAAATACGTATTTATCACAGAATTACACCATGTATTTATCACACTATCAAACTATGTATCGATGACTCCTTGAAACTATTTATTACTACAGGTACATGAAACTGTATGATTTTAAACTTTTTTTTTTGTATATTTCAGATTATTCCAATTGAAGGGTATTTTTTAGTAAATGATGAAAGACAGAAAACATTTGCCGAAGTACTTCCTGAAGTATTAATATCTATGTAAGTATTGGTATATAGAACATTAGACAAATGATAAGCGATATGTATACATGTATCCTAGAGAGAGAGAAATGGGATTTAACACCCACTTATATGAGAGTCCGAAGTTAGAATTGTCCCCAGTTACAACTAATACTGTTATTTCCATTTCATTTAATTATTTACATTTTCTATGATACAATTTAGTTAATAAATATATTTATATAGAGAGAGAGAAATGGGGTTTAACGTCCACCAGACACAATCTAGTTAATTTCGGGGCTAAAATATGGTTCAATTTTATTTGAATAATTAGCTTCCATGTAGGGGTCTTTAGCAGTCAGAGGGACCAGGAGAAAACCCACAATGCTGTACAGACGACCCTACTTCATGTCATGTACAAACTGGGTATCAAAACCACACCACTTTGACTCGATAGACCTATTTGGTCCCATTCACCAACTCTCCTTTGCTGTGAATCAATCGGATAGAAGACGCTTGTCTCAACAGGCATTATGCAAGAACTAAATCTGCCATTGCCGGTCTTTCTTAGGGCTTGAAATGTTATAATTAGATTAGAATGTTCTTGCCATTTAATGATTTAATTTAAAAATGGATAATGGAGACTTTGTTTATTATTATCTACACTGTTCTTTGGCTAAGAGTGAAGTAAATTGACTGAAATTTTCAATATATTCCCTTTTCATTATCTATTTTTTAACTATTATAGCAAGAACTGTCAGCTCTTTATATCTAATCATACACTACAGCCTACTCTTATATCAAATTCCAACTGTCAAGGGATCTTTTACATGCACGCCAATGTGTACACGGGACCTCGGTTTTTTGTCCCATCCGAACGACTAGACAGCTGTCCTTGTCAGGCCCTCCGTCTTGCATCACTGACAAAGGGGAAATCACGCCGGAAAATCTGGATGAACTTTTTCGGACAATGCAGAGATCGAACACCTGACCTCCAGTCTAGCGAGCCAACGTCTTACTTAGCTACTGTGGCCCCCCTAATCTTACATAATGCTCCTTTAAGTCATCTGAAGAGGATGCCAATACGTTATACCGTTGTAGATTCTGAACAGAATTAAATCATTTTTTTTGACTGACCTTTCTTTTAGAGATTCAACTTACACAATATTGTAAATCCATCAAATGGCTGTCAACAGTTTTAATTATAAAATGCGTTATTTTGTTACAGTGAATTAAGTGAATTGAGAAACAATAAACAAACAAAAACCGAGAATTTCTGTCAAGTTAACAGGTTTGTACAAATTGAAATATTTTACATTCATAAGTAGACAACACAGCTGAAGGCTGGTAAAACGTTTTTATTTCTGAATCTTGGTGCCGAGTTAACAAAGCATTCTCAGACTTGAGTTAAGAATTTAATCAAAATTGTAACATGGATGGGAAATCTCCCTTTGTTCTTTTCGTTGAATAAGCAGATTGTTTTCCCTCTAGTAGATTGGGTGGAGCTTAAACGTACAATAACTAGACATGTTCAATGTTATTGCACACTTTTGCTGGTTTACACTAGTTTTAGTAGAAATCATATAGAGAAGTGGGGTGGGTTTTCTGTCCAATAACATTAAGCATGTTGAGCAGTTGTCAATGTTACAATTTATTTATAGCACACTTCATTCGTTAACAGGTTTAATCCCGCCGCCTTCGGCATCTGGTTAAACCTGTTAACTCATGAAATAACTTGTTAAACTTTTGTTGTTTTAATGTATCAAATACATCAATAATAAACTATGTGTTTATGGATCAAACATATTTCTCATAAACAGTAATTGAAATTTGAGTTAATTCTTAACTTAAATCTGAGAATGTGTTGTGAACTCAGAACATGATCTGATAGATTTCAGAAATAAATAAAAGGAGGGCTATTGCTGCTGCTTTGAGGATGCTTTAAATCATCTTTTCAATGCACTCTACATGTACTTCAAATTCTAATTCACAAATATTCCTTTATTTGCACAGCATTTACAATTTGTACACAAACAAACCTTGTTTTTTTTTGTGCCCTAATTGATTGATGTAGGAACACTAATTAAACATACATTATGCAAGAGCTAAATCTGCCTATTGCAGGTCTTTCTTTAGGCCTGAAATGTTATCTAAGTGTTATCTGATTTTAAGTAGATTAGAACAGTTAGGCCATTTAATGATTTAATATAAAAATGGAGAAGCGAGGCTAAGCTTCAAACAACCAGTACGAGTGTTACAATTAATGCACACATCTTGTCAAAACTTCAAAGGCTAGTATCTTCGCATGCAGTAGAGTAATTTAAATGGAGTTTTCAATATATTCATTTTGCATTATCTATTTTCGAACTATTATAGCAAGAATGGTTAGCTCTTTATCTAAACCTTACATAATGTATCTTTAATAAATATATGGAATTTTATTTTTTTTTTAGCGTTTGTTGTGTAAAGGGAGCTTACCCTAAACAGTTGTTAAAACAGTGGGATGATTATAATGAAAAATCAGGATCAGAAAACGATCGACCCGGTAATTACTTATTTTTACACCAAATCATTTTTATAGGCCTTCTTTTATTATAGGGGGGTTGGGATGGCTGAATGGTTAGCGTGCTCGCGCTGTATCATAAAGTCTGTCATTGAGTCGACTGGCGTGGTTTCGAATCCCCAGTTGTTCGTGACAAGGAGTAGGGTTGCCTGTCCAACCTCGTGGGTTTTCTCCGGGTCATCCAGTTTCCTGCCACTGCTAAAGATCCCTATGCGCAAGCGAATTATTGAAAAAAAATAAAAACCATATGTTAGTCCTGAAATGACAGAGTTTGTGTCGAGTGGATGTTAAACCCCATTTCTCTCTCTCTCTCTCTTTTATTATGATTGAGAATTCCGATGTCCCTCTTCAAACAGAGAAAGAAAAGTGGTTTAACGTCCTACTTTTCTGCACCAACTGGGCTAATGAAGGCTGACATACGCTAAACAGTGTGCTATGAGAGAACATTATGTATGGACAATGGCACTGTCAAGGGGTCTTTTATGTGCACACCAATGTGTAGGCTACACTAAACCTTGGATTTTTATACTATATGAACGACTAGAAACTGTTTCTTGTCAGTCTGTTTGTCCTGCACCATTGACAAGGCGTTTGAAATGTCTCCTCAATACGCTCTTAATATAAGTAACTATTACACCCCTAATGGAAGTGATGTGTTTTTCTTTCAGATATATTTGATGCTGACCAGTTATTTATTGTATTTGAGTTTGCTGATGGCGGATGTGATCTGGAATCATTCAAGGTAGATAAATAATTTACTTACTTTGACTTCATGACAGTAACAAAAAGTATGCAAGGGAATTCAAATTGTATATTTTATTTTGCCCTGATCTAAATTAATATGCATATTCAATAATTAGTTGGGTCCTCCGGTTTCCTCCGACTGTTAAAGAAGTGCAAGCAAGTTATCAAAATAAAATTGAACCATACGTTAGTCCCGAAATGACCTAATTTGTGTTGAAACCGTCCCACTCCTTTTGCATTAGATCAAATTAATCGCAGGCAAAAACACTGCGGAAACAGGCCTTAATGTATTCAATTACGATAATGAATATTATGTATTTCAGTTTGATAATCCTTTAGAAGCTAAAAGTGTTATACAGCAAAGTATTTACGCCCTGGCTGTAGCTGAAGAGGCATTTGAGTTTGAACATCGTGATCTACACATAGGAAATGTTTTAGTTAAAAGAACCGAAGATAAAATGAAAAGTTTTCATCTGAATGATGAAACTGTAGAAATAGAATCTAATGGCGTCCATGTTTGTATAATAGATTTCACTATGTCCAGGTTGATGAAGGGTTAGTTTTAATATTTTATACATAATGTCTTTATACACCCACATTTTTAATAGTAAGTGTAGGGTCGCCTGTCCAACCTCGTGGTTTTCTCCGGGTCCTCCGGTTTCCTCCAACTGCTAAAGACCCCTATGCGCAAGTGAATTATTGAAATAAATTTGAACCTTATGTTAGTCCCAAAATGACCTAGTTTGTGTTGAGTGGAAGATAAATCCCATTTCTCTGTCTGTCTGTCTCTCTCTCTCTGTTGCTTGAGGAAGTTCCTCAGAATTTTTGGCGTGATATCCCCTTGTCAGTTGTTTAGGATGGAGGGTCGGGCAAGTACCGTAACAGTAATTTATTTATAAATGTTTTATTTTATGGATGTTTTGGTGATTTAATTATAAATGTTATATTTTGTAGATGTTTTGGTGATTTATTTATGTTTTATTTTGTAGATGTTTTGCTGATTTATTTATGTTTTATTTTGTAGATGTTTTTGTAGATGTTTTGCTGATTTATTTATGTTTTATTTTGTAGATGTTTTGCTGATTAAGTTTTAAATGTTATATTTTGTAGATGTTTTGGTGATTTAGTTATAAAATGTTATATTTTATTGATGTTTTGGTGATTTATTTATGAATGTTTTATTTTGTAGATATTTTGGTGATTTATTTATAAATGTTATATTTTGTAGATGTTTTGGCGATTTAATTAAAATGTTATATTTTGTAGTTGTTTTGGTGATTTAGTTATAAATGTTATATTTTGTAGATGGTTTGGTGATCCACTGTGATCTAGCAGATGATGAGACGTTATTTCAAGGAAAGGGAGATTATCAGTTTGATATTTATAGATTAATGAAAGATCATAATGAGTAGGTTGTTTGTTTGTTTATCGTAATACTTGATACAGAATTGAATGAATGGAATCCTGCGATTGAGCATGAAAACGGTACCTCCAACTTCTCTGAAACATTGTTTGATTATGTTTTGATTCTTATGAAGGCAAGATGGCTGTGGGTAAGACACTGGCTCACTAACCACAAGGGTTGGGTCAAAGAAGATTCTTTGGGATTTTTCAGCATGTGGTCCCATGTCAGTGACTGGACGCTCGGATGGCGTGAAAAACAGGTACTGTGTACATGGTTGTGTGCTCATTAAAAACAATCCCTTGACAACAGAAATTTGAGTTTTTCAGCTTGTGTTCCCATGTCAGTGACTAGGAGTTCGGATGAGGTGGAAAAAAGGTCCAGTGTGCATGGTTGTGTGCCTATAAAAAAAAATCCTTGACAGCAGAAATTTGACTAAGAGTATGCAGATATGCTGCTGTCTTGACAAGCCTTCCTTTATAATATGAAATGAAATGAAATGAAACAGGGTTTTACGTCTTACTGTTCTTCTCCGACTGGGCTAATGAAGACGGGCATACGCCATACTATACAGGGTGCTATGAGGGAAATTTTGCCTGGAGTGTGAAGCTATGGCCTGCTCTTACATCAAATTCCAACTGCCAAGGGATCTTTATGTGCACTCCAATGTTTTTCGTACCAATTGAATGACTAGACAGTTGTCCTTGGCAGGTCCTCCGTCCTGCACCACTGACAAGGGGAAACCACCCTTATAATACACTGCATGGCATATGCCAGTCTTCATTTGCCCAGGCGGTGCAGAAAAGTAAATGTTAAGTGATGAGGATTATGTCGATATTCCCAATTTGACTGACAATGACAAAGATTGTATTAAGTGGGATGTAAAGTGAAATAAAGGAATAAACTCTAATGTTTTCTATTTTCAGAAATAAATGGGAAGCCTTCCAACCGTATTCTAATGTTTTGTGGATTCATTACTTAACTGATGCTATATTAAAGAGGAAGAAATTTAAGAGTAACACTCGATTAGATCGAGAAATCTTGAAAGAAATTCGAACATTTTATAAGGAATTGTTAGAGTATAACAGTGCTAGACATTTAGTTCTGGTTTCAGAATTCTGTCAGTCTTCCTGATTATGGAGATGTGCTTTTACCGGTAGTTGAAATATATCTGGATGTATGTGTGTTGTGCGGTCAGCTCTTTGAAATACGCCTGGATGGATGTTACTGAATGTCTGAAATATGTCAGACGAGATGTCTATGATACTTGGTCCGCTCTTTGAAATACGTCTGGATGTATGTTACTGGATGTCTGAAATATGTCAGACTGGATGTCTATGATACTTTGAAATACGTCTGGATGTATGTTACTGGATGTCTGAAATATGTCAGATTGGATGTCTATGATACTTGGTCCGCTCTTTGAAATATATCAGACTGGATGTCTCTGTTGCATGGTCCACTCTTTGAAATATGTCTGGATGTCTGTCGCTTGGTCTGCTCTTTCAAATACGTCTGGATGTCTGTGTTACAGTACACACAGGTGGAAGTATGAAATTAGAATAGCTGAGTATTTCCCACACACACTGCATGGAAATAAAAAAACTTTGAGGATTGAAAATAAAAAATAGTTGGCAGATTATAGTCCGTAAAAATTTGTAATATTCAGACGAATGTCATCCATATTGTTACAGTGGTATTGTAAAGAAACACCTATTTAATGGAACAATATCGTGGGTAAACAGGTTATAGAGAGCCTGTGAATTTCTATATCTACATACATGTATATACCCTTTACACATTGATTTATGAAAAATAACTAAAACTTGTCGATGTACATCTAGTCTGTCCTATCTTTGAAATACATCTAAATGGTTGTATTACTTGGTTCACATTTGCTTCTTCTGAGACGACACATACTTTTTCCTGATGGTAATAGAAGTACAGAAATTTTATTTTATCATCATTTGAGTGATTAAGCAATCCCTTGCAAACTACAGTAATCTTTCATCTCTAAAATAAATGTTAGTCCAGAAATGGTTCAGTGATGAATTGAAAATTACTTTAGTTAAAAGATGTACTTGGCTTAATATGAAAGTTGAATCTCTACAATGAATGTTTGTCCAAAAATGGTTCAATTCCTTTTAGTATTGACAAAGATATGAATTGAAAATTACTCTAGTTAAAAGAGATTGGTATATGGCTTTAATATGACTGCCTTGTATAAATTTAAATCATGTATGAAAATCAAATATTTATATATGAATGGTTGATTTCTACTGATCTATTCAGTAGTCGGATTTTCTTTGTTTGAAATATGTAAATACCATGGTTATTAAGTTATAAATAACTCTGCCCTTTTTAAATATGGTTAGAAATCTATGAGTGGCGAGTCGCCGTCCCAGATTTCTCTCATAAAGCAACTAGTTTCGTTCATTTCGAACTTATCAGGCTTAAATGAAATCGTGTGGATGTTCCCTTTATATAGTTGTTGGGGACCGGAGCACAAAGAGGGTTTCGGATGGACCTGCGCAGTGCTGTATCAACGGAGCAACTGCTTCCGTTTAATGGTGAACAGAGAGATCCCACCATTGTTCAATTTAGTAAGCCCTCCCAAAAGAAATGGCACCCTCCAAAAATGCCATTCAAATCATTTAGAAGGCTGATATGCAAGTAGAAATGTTACGATACAAATAATTGGGCTTATCGTGACTGATCCTGACTGAGACAGAAATGATATGTCACGATGTCACGTTGGATAATTTTTGAACCATTTTAAATCGAAATGGATTCACACTTGAACTTTTGCAACGATGGGTATATGATTTCAAAAGATTTAGTCCCGAATTCTCCCCACATTCTTTATATTTATATCTTTTAAATATGGTTAAATGATAATCTATTATTAGAATTTCTGGATGAAAGATGTAAACCATACTAGTTGTTCTAGTGTGAATATACATGTTGTGTGTACAGTGTACACTGTGTTATAAATATATTGGGTGGTTGGATGGCCGAATGGTTAGCGCACGCTGTATCATAAGGTCTGTCATTGAGTCAATTGGCATGGTTTCGATTCTCCAGTTGTATGTGACAAGGAGTAGGGTCGCCTGTCCAATCTCATGGGTTTTCTCTGAGTTCTCCGATTTCCTCCCACTGCTAAAGACCCTTATGCGTAAGCGAATTATTGAAATAAAATTGAACTATATGTTAGCCCTGAAATGACCTAGTTTGTGTCGAGTGGTTGTTAAACCCCATTTCTCTCTATATATATAAATATATTTATTAACTAAATTGTATCATAGAAAATATAAATAAGTAAATGGATTGTTTGACAGGACTGGAAATAACAGTATTAGTTGTAACTGGGGACAATTATAACTTCAGACTCCGGTATAAAAACTCTTTATCTTCACAGGAATTATCAGTAAGCTGAAAATTATCAGTGTACGACTCTCTACCAGTAACAGTAACCGATTTTCTTGTTTTGTTTTACACGATTCTATAAATCATTGTTTGAGATATATGAAGTGGCCAAATGGGTTTTAGATCATAAAGATCTGTCATTGAGTCAAGTGGTGTGGTTTTGATTCCCTGCTTGTACGTGACATAAAGGAGGTTTGCCACTCCAACCTCATGGGTTTTCTCCGGTTCCTTTGCCTCCTCAAATGCTTAAAACACCTACATGCAATTGAATTATTGAAATAAAATTAAACTATATGTTCGTCGCGAAATGACCTAGTTTTTTAATACCCTATTTCTCTCTCCCTCTGTTCTGGTTCAACCATAGCAAAGATATCAATGTTGAATATATATCTGGAATGTACATGTACCTCACCAGTTGTATTGTATGTGTGAAATTTGGGGAATTCCAACATTGGTGCATTAATATTTTATGTGTGTTATTGATATATTTGTTAACTATGCTGTACTGTATGAAAATAAAACAAAAACCTGAAATTGTTAATTTTATTGTCTTAGATTAAAGATGCATTATGTAAGATTTAGATAGAGAGCTAGTACTTCTTCCTACAGTAGTTCTATAATAGATAATGAAAAATGAATATATTGAAAATTTCATTCAAATTATTTTATCCTAGGCGACGTTTTTAGAAGATGAAACAGAGACTGTTTATTATCATAGCAACAGTACTTGACAACCAAGACTTAAGTCTCAATTATCCATTTTATAGTTAAATTCAGAGATTGATTATAGACTTGTCATGGGAATAAATGACAAAATAATTATTTATGTAACATTTAAAGTCAGAAAAAAGATTTTAATTGTCCCTGTACTCTCCTCCCCCTCCTCCCGTAAGCGGGAACTTTTACTGTACATTTGAAGTCAGTGACAACCAGGCAATACAATCAAGATGGTCAGTTATCCCCCCTCAATATATTTATCAGCTAACTGTGACATGTTGGGCTCTTTGTAGATATAAAGAACATCGGAATGCTGAAAAGAAATGTCAGCCATTGGAGGTGAATTACTGGTCTTAATCCCGATTTTAAAAATGGTGTTGCCTCCCTTATATAATTAGTGAACCGAATGTAAATAATTGTCACATGACTTGTTTCACATGACCTATTTATTAAAAATGGCCTATTCCATAGAATGAGACCATCACGTTCACATTAGGCCTACATAATAAGATTTTTAACTCCATGTGACACTCCTTGAAAGTAGGTCAGATTTATTCAAGGTTTATCGAAGTTCATTCAGTAATGGCAGTCTCTACTACCAATTTACCAGTTAGTCAACCGGATTGGCCACCATTTCAACTGAACAAGCCTAGATTTGATCAGGTAAATTGACATTGTAAATAATTTGGCATCGTCCTAACCCTAACCCATAATCTACATACAAACCTAAAAAAAAAGTTGTCAGATCAACCAACAGCCCAAATAATTCTAATGATCAACTATATACTGTGCATTAAAAGTTGTTGTCCATAAAATAGTGCCAACACAGGTCTTAGTTGTAATTGCTCTACTGAATTCAAGCCATGCAATATCCTACTTATTGCGTAGAAATTGGCCAATTTATAACCTTATGCTTTCATGTAACTTCTACTACAGTACTTTGGCATTTGGGTGAGATACTTCTACTTGGGGTAATTTTGCACACATTTGCTTACTTAATCCCCAGCTTTAAATAGCGGGTGATCTTTTGCTTGTTTGCCAATTTTATAAATATGGTTAAACTATCTGTAACTGAATGGCATTTAAGTCTGATTATGGTCAAGGCTATTTTATTGCCACACTATATACAGTGTGTTTTCAGATTTTTCACATTAGTATTTGCAAATCCATTCAGCTTTCTGAACATCATTGACTCAACCTACCAATAGAACCCCAAGCCTATAACAGGGTCTTGCTGACGAGCTGTCTTGAGCCCTACCCTATCATTAACATTTGTCAGTAAAAGAGTCCAAATGAAACCAAAGTTGCAGTTATTTGAACTTTCATTTGTAATATTTTTATTTTCAGGGAACTTTTGTAGGAAGATGGAGACATTTTTTAAATGTAATTGATCCCAGGACATTATTTACAACAGAGGTAAGATCATTGTGACATTCGCCGGTGTCTTTCCAACCCCTTCGGTTTTCTCTGAGTCCTCTGGTTTCCCCCCCACAGCTAAAGACCCCAACGCACAAACAATTATTGAAATAAAATTGAACCATATGTTAGTCCCGAAATGACATACTTTCTCACTCTCTCTCTCCAGTGCGGGGGATTCATGAATGGCCGAATAGTTAGCGGGGGGGGGGGGATGGCCGAATGGTTAGCATGCGAGCGCTGTATCATACGGTCTGTCATTGAGTCAACTGGCGGGGTTTCGATTCCCCGGTTGTACGTGACAAGGAGTAAGGTCGCCTGTCCAACCTCGTGGGTTTTCTCCAGGTCCTCCGGTTTCCTCCCACTACTAAAGACCCCTACGCGCAAGCGAATTATTAAAATAAAATTGAACCATGTGTTAGTCCCAAAATGACCTAGTTTGTGTCGAGTGGACGTTAAACCCCATTTCTCTCTCTCTCTCCGAATAGTTAGCGTGTGTGCGCTGTATCATAAGATGGCCGAATAGTTAGCGTGCGTGCGCTGTATCATAAGATGGCCGAATAGTTAGTGTACGTGCGCTGTATCATAAGATGGCCGAATAGTTAGCGTGTGTGCGCTGTATCATAAGATGGCCGAAAAGTTAGCGTGTGTGCGCTGTATCATAAGATGGCCGAATAGTTAGCGTGCGTGCGATGTATCATAAGATGGCCGAATAGTTAGCGTGCGTGCGCTGTATCATAAGATCTGTCACTGAGTCAACTAGCATCATTTCGATTCCCTGATTGTACTTGACAAGGAGTAGGGTCGCCTGTCCAACCTCGTGGGTTTTCTCAAGGTCCTCCAGTTTCCTCCCACTGCTAAATAATTTATTTATTGAAATAAAATATGTTAGTCCCGAAATGACCTAGTTTGTGTTGAGTGGGTTAAACCCCATCTCTCTCTCTCTCTCTCTCTCTCTCTCTCTCTCTCTCTCTCCCACTGCTAAAGAAAACCCATAGCCAAGTGAATTATTGAAATAAAATTGAACCATATCTCTCTCTCTCTCTCCCTCTCTCTCTCTCTCTCTCTCTCTCTCTCTCCCTCTCCAGTGCCTCTACCAAAAATAGGAACCATGGCTGACATGTTTTATTGAAATCTTTTAGTTTATTTTATGTTTTTGATTTTTTCCAGTCTCAACTAAAAGAATCAATAAGATTATTAGAGGATTATAAAAATGGCCAACTTAAACCAGGCGTTACGGATGGTGATTTGTGGAAAGCGCAAAAAATAAAGCAGGTAGCAGAATATTTACTTTCTCACAGTGTTCGAGAATGTTTTGAAATGTTGTCTAATCTAATACCCAGAGCTGTGCTGGCTCAGGATATCCCAGGTTTTTCCGCTTGTCAGTGGTTGCTTAATCTTGAGAAACTTTCTCAACCAATAACCTCCTGGTTAGTGACCTAATACGATTATCACTGAGTCACATTGCTCCTCCTAGGATGTTTGACAAACAGTTGTGTCCTAGAATATCTACCAATACCTTTCTTTCCTTCCATGTAATATTTAAATGGGGTTTAACGTCCTGCTGTTCTGCTCCGACTGGGCTAATGTAGACAGGCTTATGCTATACGGTGTGCTATTGTGCTATGAGGTAAAATTTGCCTGCACAGCGGCACTTCTGCCTACTCTTATATCGAATTCCAACTGTCAAAGGATGTTTTACATGCATAATGTTGATTTCTTGTCCAATCCAAACAACTGTATGTTGTTCCTTGCCAGGCCCTCTGTCCTGCACCACTGACAAGGGGGAACAACACAGGGATCGAACGTGGTACCTCCAGGTTAGCAAGCCAACATCTTACTCATTGAGCAAACGCGTCTCCCTCCAAATTATAAAGCTAATAACATGACTGGGGTTTCAATGAGAATCAGAATTCTGTAGAATTATATTCTGTATATTTTGAGTTCAGTTACTAATCACCTGTTGTTTGTTTTTAAACAGGCTATAATACACCCAGATACAGGAGAGAAAATCTTCATGCCTTTTAGAATGTCAGGTAAACTTTATTTAATCTTACTGTTTTAACAAAGGGGGTCATGGTGGCTAAGTGGGTAAGATGCTGGCTCGCTAGCCTGGAGGTCGGTCGGGTGTTCGATCCCTGCATTAGCTGAAAAAGTTCATCCAGATTTTCCGGCGTGTTTCCCCCTTGTCAGTGATGCAGGACAGAGGGCCTGACAAGGACAGTTGTCTAGTCATTTGGATGAGACGGAAAACTGAGGTCCCTTCGATATAAGAGTAGACCGTTGTGCCGCTGTCTGGGCAAAATTTCCCTCATAGCACACTGTATGATGTATGCCTGGATTCATAAGCCCAGTTCGGAGCAGAACAGTAGGACGTTAAACCCCATTTCATTTCATTTCTGTTTTAACAATGTTCAACATTATTAACAACAGAGGTAAGATCCTTGTAGCTAATTTACCCCATTGTGGTCTAGTGAAACACACATTTTTAAAATGCAATTGAACTAGGGCAGTATTTATAACAGAGATTAGATCATTGGGACATTCGCTGGTGCTGCAGTGGATAATTTACCCCATTGTGGTCTAGTGCAACGCTAAGAAGTGAATTTAGCATGGATTAAAGTCCTGATGCGGAATTTTCATTTTTGTTAAAATATCAAATTTCGCTCGGCCTCTCTCTCACTCCCCACCCTCTCTCTCTCTCTCTCTCTCTCTCTCTCAGAATTCCTCCTCCCCCCATTTCATTTCATATTTTTTTTCTGTTTTCCAGGTTTTGTACCTTTTGGATCTCCTATGGTAATTAAATTTTTGTTCCTGTTAAATTTAGTTGATATGTTGATTTGTTGGGTCAAAAAAAAAATTTTTGCTGAAATTTTTATTTGTCGATTTGTTTGTGGCAGGGCAGTTTGTCTTACTTAAACATACATTATGCAAGAGCTAAATCTGCCTATTGCAGGTCTTTCTTTAGGCCTGAAATATTATCTAAATTATTAATTAGACATTAATTAACTTATCCAGACCCTTATCAACTCTCGATGTCATCACTGGCATGCAATATTTACTGGATTAGGATCCAATTTGCTAGTCATTTAATCATGAAATGGATAATTGAGACTATGTTTTTTTTATCGTACCTACTTTAGCAATGATGATCGAGGCTAGGCCAAAAATTCAATTGCAAAATTCTCGGTTCAGAGTGGATCAATTTGACTGAATTTTCAGCATATTTCCTTTACATTATCTAGTTTTGAACTATTATAGTGAGAACTGCCAGCTCTTTATCTAATCTCCCCATAATGTATCTTTAAATTAGTAAATAAGATGTGATAAAAGATGCATTATGTGAGATTTAGATAAGGAGCTAGCTGCTCATGCTATAATAATTAGAAAATAGATAAAGAAAAATAAATATATTGAAAATCTCAGTCAAATTACGTTATTCTGAGTGAAGTGTTTGAAGTTTTGTCATAACTATAGCACGTGCGCGCTGTATCATAAGGCCTGTCATTGAGTTAACTGGCATGGTTTCGAATCCCCGGTTGTACGTGGCAAGGAGTAGGGTCGTCTGTGCAAACTTGTGGATTTTCTCCGGGTCCTCCAGTTTCCTTCCACTGCTTCAGACCCCTACGCGCAAGAGAATTATTGAGATAAAATTAAACCATATGTTAGTCCCGAAATTACCTAGTTTGTATCGAGTGGACGTTAAACCCCATTTCTCTTTCTCTCATTTTGTCATAATTAGTAGATTGTATTTTGTATATTTCAGGTTGTGGGTTTATTGTTACCCAACCCGTCTCTAGGTAGCATCGTATTTTGGCAGTGGTTGAATCAGAGCCATAACGCCTGTGTTAATTACGCTAACAGAAATGCGTCTAAGGTTTGTGGATGACATCTTCATATTTCTTTCAAGAAGGTTTTCGAATCTCATTTGAGATGGGAAGAATTTCAGGAAAATGCAAGGCCTGTTTCTACTTGTCAGGGTCAGAGCTGACCAGTAGATTGTAGCCCAATCATTTGGATGGGCTTACAATTTGCCAGAGTCATGTGCATAGCTGTTAAGTATTTAAAGTGATTTGAGATGGTATAGGGAGTGTTGTTTATGGCAATTTACAAAATGAACTACAATAAATCCTTTCTCTTTCATTAATCAGTTTATGTTGGAGTTCTTTATTAATATGATATTTAATATTTATTATTTCAGCCGACAACAACAAGTCATTTTATAATGGGTTATGTTGGAGCCGTTACAAGTGCTGTCTCTATATGATATGTAATATTTATTATTTCAGCCGACACCAACAAGTCGTTTTATAATGGGTTATGTTGGAGCCGTTACAAGTGCTGTCTCTATATGATATGTAATAATAATATTTATTATTTCAGCCGACACCAACAAGTAGGTTTATAATGGGTTATGTTGGAGCAGTAACAAGTGCTGTGTCTATAGCTGTAAGTTTATAATATTCAAATTAACAAGTATTGGCTTGTAAGAAAATGTTATATCAGAATTATTATTATTGTTAGCTCAAAATCTATGGTTAATGCATGCATGTTGAATCATAAGGTCTGTCATTTAGTCAACTGACGTGGTTTCGATTCCCCGCTTGTACGTAACAAGGAGTAGGGTCGCCTGTCCAACCTTGTGGGTTTTCTCAGGGTCCTCCGGTTTCCACCCACTGTTAAAGACCCTGTGCAAGCGAATTATTGAAATAAAAATAAAACATGTGTTGGTCCCGAAATGACCTAGTTTGTGTCGAGCGGGCATTAAACCTAATTTCTCTCTCTCTCTATTTTAGTAAAAAAATTTCATATCGAATCCTTATAATTATACCCCTTGAAAAAGATTCAGTGTGCCTCTTGTGACAATGATAATCAAGTTGAGTGGTAGTTATGCGCTCAGAACACTATATTAATATTGGAATTTTGAACATTATTCACCATGTCTGGATGTCCAATTCGGCATATTCCTGGTCCGACAATTTAGGATGTTTGGAAAATAGCGTAGGACATGTCCGGAATATACAGGCGAAATCCCATCTTGTCTAATAATCTATATGTTTCGGGTATAAATTCCTCAGATCCTTGAACCAGTTTATTGAATATTTCATTTTTGATATAGGTTGGTTTAAAAAGTTTAATAAAGAAAGCCAGTAGATTTAGTCCTGCAACTAAATTATTAATTCAACGATTTGTACCTTTTCCAGCAGTAGGTATGTACCAATACAAAAAATTAAATCTGTCTTTCAATAAAACAGAAAAACATATTTAAACATGGGGTTTAATGTCCTACTTTTTTGCTCCGATTCCCTGATTGTATGTGACAAGGAGTAGGGTCGCCTGTCCAACGTTGTGGGTTTTCTCTGGGTCCTCCGGTTTCCCCCCACTGCTAATTATTAAAAAAATAAAATTGAACCATATGTTACTCCCGAAATGGCTTAGTTTGTGCTGAGTGGACTTTAAACCCGTCTCTCTCTCTCTCTCTCTCTCTCTCTCTCTCTCTCTCTCTCTCTCTCTCTATCTCTGCTCCAACTGGGCTAATGAAGACAGACATATGCCATACAATGTGCCATAGTGTGTCGCAGCCCGTGCAAAATTCCCCACATAGTACACCGTATGCTTGTCTTCATTAACCCAGTCGATGCAAAAAAGTAGGATGTTAAACCCCATTTCTCTTTCTCTCTCTTGCAGCAACTGCCAGTACTTGTAATGTTATATTAATGAGGAATAACGAACTATCAGAAGGTATTGAAGTTGTAGATAAAGATGGCAAGGTTGTAGGAACGTCATTAATTGCAGCTAAAAAGGTGAGAAAACTTCCAAATAAATTCATTTTAAATATTTATCATCAGTCCCTGGTGTCGTATTGAGCATGTACAAACCATCTTCATATTGTCATGGAAACAAACCGCTACTCTATGCATTCACCCGTAACCAATATATGTGTAGAATTGTTTATTTAAAGATGCAGTATGTAAGATTTAGATACAGGGCTGGTCGTTCTTGCTATAATGGTTCAAAAATAGATGATGCAAAATGAATATATTGAAAATTTCATTCAAATTACTCTATTACGAGTGAATATATTAGTCTTTGCAGGTTTGACAATATGTGTGCATTAATTGCAACCAAGCTAAGCCTTGCTGATCCATTTTTAAATTAAATCAAAATATGGCTGAACCGTTCTAACCAATTTATATCAGAGATATTCGTTGGCATCCAGAGTCTTGTCATGTTAAAAAGTCTACTTAATAGTTTATATAACATTTCAGACCTAAAGCAAGACCTGCAATAGGCAGATTTAGCTCTTGTGAGGGTATCTGACAATTTAAAAAATAGAATTGGCTGTCACTAGATAAGGGACACGAGAAAAATAGAAAAATCCTGTGCATTCCCCCGTTTTTATTCAGTCTGTTCTTAATAAAAACATGGTAATGCATGGACTTTTTCTAATTTGTTCGTTATCTTTTATCTACTGACAGCCAATTAATTTTTTGAATTGTCAGATATCCTCTCATCGTCTCATATAAAAACTTTTCATCTTCAACTGAATTATCAGTGAAATGAAATTCGATCGTTTGTCTGTTACCGCTCGTTACTTCAGTCTGTTATTTAGAAGGACAACTCGTGTTTGTCATGTTTGACGTCACTTCCCGTTTCTTCACGTGCTTGTTACTCAGCTATCGTAGCAATGATCTCTGTGTTAAAATTATATTTGGGATGTATTTAACGAGCTCTATCACATATTTTATAATGACTGACACCAATATTGTCCTTTAAGTTTATAAGGTCTATCATATTCATTCAAGTGACAAGGTTTTGATCCCATGCTTGTCGTGACAACTAGCTGGGTCACCTGACCTACCTCGTGAGTTTTCTCCAGATCCTCTGGTTGCCTTACACTGCAAATTATTGAAAAAAAAAATTAAACCCAAAATGGCCTATTTTTTTGTTGAGTGAATTGTGGGCCACATTTCTCTCTCTCTTCCTCTTTGTAAGTAAATGTTTTATGAACCCAGGACTATAAATTATAAAAACACTAAGGAGATGGAACCAGGAGATCTTGATTTGATCCCAGTTTTGTCCGAGAATGTCCCTTTGTCAGTGGAGTGGGAAACAGGATCTGACTTTTAAAAGTGTTTTGTTGTTTGGATAGTATGGCAAACTAAAGGTCCATGCAGTTGGAAATCGAATAAAAGTTGGTGGAAATGGTGCTGTCTAAGCAAAATTTCCCTTCTACTCACACTGCATGGTGTATACACATCTTTATTAGCTAGGTTGGTGCAGAAAACTAAGGCATTAAACCCCATTTCATTTTATGGAACATATTGTTGACAATTTTGGAATGAAATTGGATTTAAGGTCCTACTGTTCGTTCTGCTCCGACTAATGTAGACAGGCAAACACTATACGGTGTGCTGTGAGGGAAATTTTGCCAGGACAACGCCACTACAGTATATTCTTATTTCGAATTCCAACTGTCAAAAGTGTAGCCTATATGGGCCGTTAACACTGGACCTTGGTTTTTGGACCACTGACAAAGGGGAACATATATAGGACCTCCCAGTTAGTGTGTGCAAATGTCTTACCCACTGAGCCAGCACGGCTTCAAGACAATTTTGAAGATGATAAAGTAATATATTTAAACCAAACAGGCCATAACAGAAACAGCCATCACAAGGATATTTCTTCCTGCTCCCATCTTTATCATACCACCACTCATTATGGCTTATATCGAGAGGTGAGTTATCTTCCCTTCCATGGCCTGGATATATAACATGAGTTATCTACCCTTTTATGTTCTTGCCATATAACTTTTATTTTAACAGGAATATATATGTGACCTATGACAGCAAAATGAGTCGGAAATAGACTGTGTGCTTTATTTGTCAAATCTAAACTTTTATCTGTGTTGTATCATTGAAAAGATACAATCTGATTAAAACACAGATCCTATTTCTTTTCGTTTTTTATAGTTCAAAATTTCGTTTTACTTGTCTTTACTACACTAGGATCTGGAAGAGTCATTATAAAACCCACGTTCTGGATGATGTGATGATTTAGCCAATGAAAAGATCTGTTACTCCTAGTTTTGGGGGTAAGGTGCCCGGAATGGTGGGTAAACCACTAGGCACGTCAGTGCTGATTGATTGATCAATGCCTGACTTCATAAGGTCAAAAGCCGCTCATATGACACCTGATGTGCCCTTCCACTACAACCGGTCTGTTACGCTGAGTTTTAGGCTTGAGGTGCAAGGAATGGTAGGGTAAACCACTAGGCACGTCACGTCTTCATGTAGTAGAGACCATCGAAAGTATAAAAAAAAAAACCGAAATGAAATATAGATCTGTTTTTTAATCAGATTGTAAAAAGATAGTTTTAGTCTGTTTTAACATTTTTGTTCCTATCATAAAAGACATGCGACATCCAACTCATTCTGCTATCACAGGTCACATATTGTCATCTGACACACTATACAAGGGTCGTGACCTGTAGGAAGGAATAATGAATGGATCTAAATCCCAGCGAGGAAGCATCTAAATTTTGATTATGTAGATTTTGTATGTATAATAAAAAAAACAGTGATCCCACATTCCACTTGTAATTTCCTTCCTGAAGATCACGGCCCCAAACTCTATATCTAATTTCCACTCACCTCATAGAAATATCCTTTCTTCTAATTCATCTGTTAAATGGTTGTTAGTGATCTTTATTTATTATAAAAAATATTTATATTCATTTCATTTCCTCTAGGCTTCATCTTATCAAAATGAATTAAAAGTTTTTTGAAACCCATAAACTGAAGCAGGGGTGTATCCAGAAATTTGACAGTTGACAATGCATGATGCCATCATCATCTCTAAATTACATAGGCATACATACACTTTGCGCTTTTTAAAGAGGATGTCAGGTTTTATTGTGAATTAATAGGATCACATTGTGTTTCAATTTTATTGATGCAAAGCATTAATTGTGATATCACACATGTCTATATCATTATTTCACGCTTTGAATGCCCATCCTGTCGTATCATCTGACGGTAAAGGATAATTTGTTTTACAGTCTGTTTAATGTAGCCGAGCAGGGTGAGGTTTGGACCCCCAAACCCCCCACTCTGGATCCGCCCCTGGGAAGACACTATTTCAAAATATCTAAAACATTATTGAAAAATATAAATGGACATAAAAGGGACCCGAATTGTATCAATTTTGCCGACAATATTTCAGCTTCATAAATTAAAGGGACCTTCTTTTGCGGTGTATTCCTTTATACTGTAGTTTGTGCTAATTATTTGTTTTAAGTCAAATTCAGGAGAAATCAGTTTTACCAGAGAGGGGGTGGGGTTGTGGGGGTTAAGTGGAGTAAATTAGGCATAGTTTAATGGTTGAGACTTGAGATCGAGACATTGCCTGTACATTATTTTAAATATTGAGGATGATGTCACAATCTGGGTCATTAGATCTAGTTATTTTAGCTTCACAGTGTATAATGTTATTGGCCATGGGACTAACTTCCCCATAATGTCCTTGAAACCCTATTCCCTATATCATGATGTCCCTTGGCAGTATGAATTTTATATAAGGGTAGGCCTTAGTGCCACTGTCCGTGCAAAATTCCCTCATAGCCCACTGTATGGTGTTTGCCCGTCTTCATTAGCCCGGATGAAGCAGAACCATAATATGTTAAACCCCATTTTACTTCATTGACATTCCGTTCAAGTTTGTGACAATATTTTGTCTCTTTGAAAACAACAGGCGTTAAAGGAAACTGCGATAACCAGGATAATTTTACCGGCGCCAATTCTTATTCTACCACCGATTATCATGGGATTCTTTGAGAGGTGAGTCGTCCTCTCATTTACAAATTTTCTAAATTTCTTGATTCACAGAAAAGTTTTCTAATTTTCGCAGATCAATTCCAAATTTAAGAATTAAACTGCTTTGCTTTTTTGCTGCTTAAAAGCTACATGTAACTTTTGATGCTACGGTGTAATGTTGAAATATATGTATGTAGGCATTGATAGGTGCTTTGGCTCGGTCGGGGACCTATTAATTAGATCTGTAGGGTGGGTCTATTTAAAGAGTTGACAGTTCTCGCTATGATAATTAGAAAATAAGTAACATATAAATAATATGCTGAAAATTTTAGTAAAATTGCTCCACACTGAACCGAGATATTAGCGATTGAATTATAGGCCTAGCATTGATCATCATTACTAAAGTTGGTATGATAATAAACAAAGTCTCGATTATCCATTTTGATGTTAAATCATCCGTCACAAAATGTATTCAAATCCAGTAAATATCGCAGGCTAACGATGGCATCGAGTGTTGATTATGGTCTGAATAAGTTAATTAATGTCTGATTAATAATTTAGATAACATTTCTGGCCTAAAGAAAGACCTGCTATAGACAGATTTAGCTCTTCCATAATGTATGTTTAAATAATCCCTCACAAAATGAATCCTAATCCAATAAACATCGCAGGCTAGAGTTGATTATGTTAATGTCTAATTAATAATTTAGATAACATCTAAGGCCTAAAGAAAGACCTGTAATAGAAAGATTTAGCTCTTCCATAATGTATGTTTAAGTAAGTGTTTATGGAAGGTAGGGAGACTATTTAGGTTTTTTTTGTGGGTGCTCGTGTTTCCTCCAAATATATACCATTTGTTAGTCCAAAAGGTCGATGTAAGTGGATGTTAAACCCAATTTCTCACTCTTTCTCTCACAAGCATAGAATGCCTCCAGTTTCCTTGCATGAAAACACATATATGCAAGCATGTCAATTTATTAATATATTCTCTCCATTCTGATTGACCATATATGGCATTATACATCAGGCTCTAACAGAAACAGCTTTAACAAGGGTTGTTTTGCCGGCGCCAGTATTGATACTGGTTCCCATGGTGATGGGTTTATTTGAAAGGTTAGTTCGGTGTGACTAGCTAGACTATTAGTCATTGTGAAAAAGCATTAGAAAGCTTACCTAGTTATAGTATTACAAAGTCACGTTAATTTGTAAAACCTTTTTTCTTGTGGATGTTATATGTTCTGTCTCTTGAAATCTGAGACCATACTGTTGTTTCATTTGGCAAGGAACAGCGTTTAGTCTTTCGGATGAGATGAAAAAAATTGGTGTGCACGTAAAAGATCCCTTGATAGTTAGAATTTGAAATTATCCTGATAGCACAATGTATGGCATACGCTTGTCTTCATTAGCCCAGTTGGAGTAGAAAAGTAGGATGTTAAACTTCTTTTCATTTCAGAATCGATGTTTGTACTAGTTTGTAGTTTTTGCAGACATTTTACCCAGAATTTACTACCAATGAACCTTGTTGCTAGGGCTGAATTGAACCCCATTTCTCTATTGCTGTCGTCTTCCATTTCTTGGAAAAAGCTGAATGATCCTTAATATGTTTTTAGTTTTAGCAGACATTTTATCTTTTGCTGCCTATGATCCTTGTTGCTAGGGACCATTTAAACCCCACTTCTTTATTGTCGATATCTGAGCTATTCCAATCCAATATGCGTGTGTGCGTTGTATCATACGGTCTGTCATTGAGTCAACTGGCGTGGTTTCGATTCCCAGGTTGTACAAGGAGTAGGCTAACCTGTCCAACCTCGTGGGTTTTCTCCCGGACCTCCGGTTTCCTCTCACTGTTTAAGACCCCTACACACAAGCGAATTATTAAAATAAAATTGAACAAAATGTTAGTCCTGAAATGACCTGGTTTGAATTGAGTGGATGTTAAACCCCATTCCTCTATCTCTCATCCCTTTTACGTGACACGAAGTAGGGTTGCCTGTCCAACTTCGTGGGTTTTATCCGGGTCCTTTGGTTTCCTCTAACTGCTAAAGACCCCTAGAAGCAAGCGAATAAGTTGACATGAAATTGAACATATGTTACTCTCAAAATGATCTGGTATGTGTCAAATGGGTGTTAAATCCCATTTTGCTGTCTCTATACCTAGGCATTCATTTTTTTAAAACTTTGGCAGTCTGTCAATAATTTTGGTTATTTTATTTACCTTAGATAAGCAGGATATTTTTTCCAAAGAATATAACCAATTTTAGCATTTGTTGGTGGTTTTCAAAAAAAATTAACAACTTACAACTATACATTTAGCTGTCAGCTAGTCAATATTTTACTTAATTGGTTACTTCGAATTAGCAAGAAATTATTTCCCATACATTTATAAGTATCTTTACACACAAAAACTATCAATTTAACTCTATTTATTGTATTTAAAGGTTCAATTCTTTGAAATAATCGAATTTTTGTCATTTAAATTGACTGACAGACAGGTTCTCCAACCGATCCTTTTCCCTGCCTGTCAGTCAAGACTTGTCAATATAAATGAAAACAGACCCTGGGTATATCTAATATCTATAGCATAATTATGTATTCTAATATGATTTGAAGCTCTTTATCTAATATTTGCATGCTTCTATTAATAGCCTATATATTATATTATCTATAGTTGTTGCTGTTCTACATGCAGGCCTGGATATAATGGTTTTAGTTGTATCTAACAAAATGTCAGGCCCTAATATAAACTAGTAACTGATATTTTAAATTTGTGCCAGACATGTATTAATAATATCAAATCAGTAACAGAAAAATAACATGAGGTTTTTTGCCTGACAAGGCCTGAATTTGTGCCTGCCATTGTCTGTGTCAGCTGCCTTATTTCCAGGTTTGCCATTCTCAAAACCAATATAAATAGATTTTAATATTTTCTTTAAAGGAACAACAAACAAATGGCTCGTAAATATTTTAAAATAAAAATAAATAATACAAAGAACTAATTTTTTTAAAGAATACTTTTATGAACTGACCACCATCAAGATGGTATCATGAAATCAATAAATCATATCATGTATATTGGAAATGATATTGCTTTTAGATATTCAACTTTCACAATGTTGTTGTTTACAAAAAGTTCAAGATCCATAAAACAACGATGAGAGACATAACTTTAAAATCAGAGTTCTAGGAAGCATTCTTGGGCCTTATTCAAGAAAACATAAGCTAAAATAATTTAAGGATGCAACCTTTTAATTAGTTAAAATCTCACTACAAATTTTAGCTCCTGCCCCCGAAAAAACTGCATCCATAAAATATTTATGTTTAAGATTTCTTGAATACAGTCCCTGGTCTATTTAAATCAAAAACATTCATAGCTCTCTTGTTTTTATTCTGCAGGACGAAGTTTTTAAAGACGTACCCTAAGATGCATTTACCTATAAATGCTGTAGTTTGTACTGCAGCTTTTGGTCTAGCTTTACCAGTGGCAATAGCTATGTTTCCTCAATATTCTCAGGTAATAAACAATAGTTTAATTTCCATCCAGGTAATATACAATGGTGTAATTTCCACCCAGGTAATATACAATAGTGTAATTCTGTGCCCAGGTAATATACATGTACAATAGTTTATTTCCACCCAGGTAATATACAATACATGTAGTTTATTTCCACCCAGGTGATATACAATAGTTTTAATTCCACCCAGGTAATATACAATAGTTTTAATTCCACCCAGGTAATATACAATAGTTTAATTTTGTGCCCAGGTAATATACATGTACAATAGTTTATTTCCACCCATGTAATATACAATACATGTAGTTTATTTCCACCCAGGTGATATACAATAGTTTTAATTCCACCCAGGTAATATACAATAGTTTTAATTCCACCCAGATAATATACAATAGTGTAATTTTGCGCCCAGGTAATATACAATAGTTTAATTACAACCAGGTAATATACAATAGTTTTAAATCCACCCAGGTAATATACAATAGTTTATTTCGACCCAGGTAAATATTCATTAGTTTTAATTCCACCCAGGTAATATACAATAGTTTAATTTCTACCAGTGGCAATAGTTTTATTTCTACACAGGTAATATACAATAGTTTTATTTCCACCCTCTCTGTTTCTATCTGTCAGGTGTATCAAATTAAACGTATTGTAAATTACTGGAGTTATTAAATGGAGTTACCTCCCATTATACATTATTCCGTGAAACATTGCCTTTTATAAGAAGAACACAACCACACTATCTCATAGTGGCTGTTATATGATCACAGGCACTCCTCTCGTTTCACTATATGACGTCCATAATAATTGTCATATACATTTTCGGACAATAATTAAATTTTCACGGCTTAATCCACGGTTAAAGGGACCATCCCGATTTTTACAGAGTCTCAGAAATAAAAGTCTGTGCACGTATGAAATTTAAGGGCCAAAATATAGAGAAATGGCGTATTTACCTTGTCTCAAAATTTCAGCTAAAAATATTGAGTCGTTTGGACGTGAACGTCAAAACCGCTTATCGGATCCTCTGTTTTTTGTGAGGTGACCCAATAATCTTTTGCCGTTCCTTTAGAGATCTATGCAGTGCATTACCCACGTGCTGTACTTGATAGCGAAAGATAAATTTCACTACAGGTTATTTTTATAAAATAAAATCCTGGTTTTATCCCGACACCGTATAATACGGCTTGGGACACCGGTCTCCATTTCCAGATCAAGGCTGACGGGTTTTAGTTGTTTGAAAACATATCACGTATATAATGAGTTAGTTGCTTGGCCCTAAGGTAGAGGATATTAAGGGCTTTTAACACAAAATTAAGCAGTTTTATTCTCCAAAATATAATCGATATTGGCCTTTTAAATATAGGCGTGCTCAAATTGGTTGTTTAACATTTAATTTAAAAAAACAAAACACCAACATAATGTCCCAACTTGGATTCAATAGGATTAAAAAGAGGCCCATCAAGAGATTTTAGCGGCTATTATATGTGGCGCTGTCTTTTGGTCATATCCCATTTATATCTTCTTTGTAAATACTGAACTGAATTGAACAGGTTTTGGACTGCGACCCCTTTCAGAGATCAACTGTTACGTGTAGTTTGTACATAATTAAATATTTATTCAACATTGTAGTTGTATATTGACAATTTCAATTCTTTTGCGGATCAAAATTCAACAGGAAACCCTCGACTCTAAAAAACAAAACTTCAGATTATCTGGACTTTCTAAGCTACCCCCTCGTAAAACTGACATTGACGTTATAAATAAGCGAACTGATAGAGTTCTAATTTCTATATTACTATGCACTTAGTTTCTCTCGAGTTCAAAATTCCTCTGCCTCGTAATAGCATTCAGTGTATCTTAGTGCTAATTGAGGTATTATGGGAATAAGCATGCGCGGAATGCCACAAACGTTATGGCAGTCATTTTGAATTTTGATACAGAAGGAAAATAGTGTGACATGTTTGTTGTAAACAGAGTATATTACACGCTACGTCTAATGTTGGTAATAATGAGAATAGTTTAGGTAATGGGGAGGGTTAATAAGTTCTATAAAACGCGAGCTTTCCTTCTATTTTGACATGTGACGTAGCGAAACGTGACAGTTACGTGCGTTATAGACAGTATTCTGGCACTTCTCTGCACGGAGTACAAATTCTACTTTCTTTTTTCTTTTTGGAAGGCTTTTCTTATATCTTGATTAATATTAATTGTTTCCTTTTGTACTCGCTACTTTTATTTTGTAAATATCTTTTCTACGTTGAAATAAAATCGGTGCGAATCTTTACCCAGAATATCTCAGCTGAACTTGAAGTAAAAATTACACAAAATGTTGTTGGTTTTTATAAATTACATTCCTCGAACTAAATAAACCTTTTCGAGGTCGGCAAAGCAAATTCAACTACATTAAAATGTCTATTGCTTTTGAGCGTGAAATGCAGATCCGCAGCAATTTTTTTTGCTCCGTAGCTTTTTTTGCATCATCAGTTTGGAATAGTTTGTGAAATGCGGAGATTTTCTTCTCTGAATCATTTACGAGCACCGAGTTCACCCCCTTGCTTTTTCGTGTTAGTTCCGAATGCCCCGTCCATTCTAAACGTCCCTGATTTTGTGAGTTCCAACTCGACTAATTCCGTGAGTCCGTATAATGCCGTATATCTAGGTTCAACTCCAGTAAGTCGAATGCGAAACGGGCTTGACAATCCGAGTGGTTCTAGAATGGTTTGAACGCAGCAATTCGGTTATTTCGGCCACTATGTTCACACGTGTACAATGCTAGGAGAATTTAACGAGGACATTGACGTTTCCGACCATTCTTGATCGAATTTATCGGGTTCATCTAGGCCTACCACAACTAGGCGACAGTTTAGGCCTACTTGTCGAGTGGCCTTTCCGCCCATTCGTAATCGAATGTTTAGGTTTCTTCTATGTGTAGGGTGTACTCCACGTATACACGGGTGCACTCTGGGGTTTTTTATTATCCCAGCCGAACGACTAGCCACCACATTACTTTTCAGCCCCACAGACACCACACGTGACGCAAAAATTAACAATGTTCTTCTGGACCTACAGTCGAATTTCAAACTCGCTACATTCTAGCTGAGAATTCATTACCCTTACGTCACTGAGTCAAGTGGCGTGGTTTTGATTCCCAGGTTGAACATACCATGGAGTAGGGTCGCCTATCTGACCTCAAGGGGTTTCTCCGGTTACCTCCACTCCTAAAGGCCCCTAAGCGGAAGCGAATTGTAGAAATGAAATTGAACCATATTTTAGTCTCGAAATGACTTAGTTTGTGTCATGCGGAGTTACCCCTCCTTCCCACCCACCCACACACACACCAAAGTGCCCTTAACGTTCGAACAGCCTGACACCGTAGGATGACAGTTCAGAGTTGTTTACGAACTCAGGGTATATTGATACTGGTGTATATATGTAATATTTAGGTGATAATTGTGTTTATTGTATGTTAAGATACGTTAAGTAGTATATTATACCTATATTTATATACACTCTGTCACAATTCATTATACTTCTACATGCCTCTGTCTCTGACATCATTATATACAATCCACGAAAACAATTCACTTATGTTCATTTTTGAAGCCACGATGGCTCGTTGAGTAAAGTACTGGCTCACTAAACTGGAGGTCCCTGATTCGATAACCGAGAGAGAGAGAGAGTTTAACGTACATCATTTCAGGACATATGTTAGTCCCGGAATGACCTGGTTTGTGTCGAGCGGACGTTACCCCCCCCCCGTTCTCTCTCTCTCTCTCTCTCTCTCTCTCTCTCTCTCTCCCTGCTCCTAGATAATTTTTTCCCTCGGATTTAGACCATAAAATTTTTCTCTTCAGATTGTATTTTTCAGTGTATGCGAAGATGAATTTTATTTATTTTGGAAAAAATATATATGTCAATTTTGTTTTCCAATCGGGGCCAATAAGCCCCTGACTCCCTCTAAGCCCTTGACCCACGTCCGTCCAGCACGCTTCTGCCAATATAATGTTACATTGTTGTTTGCGATCATCTGTGTGGTCTAATCTAAACAACCATATAATAACGTAAATATTGAACACGTCATAAACTAACCTCCGTAGAATTCTACACTGACTGGAATGTAAAAACTGTGGTTTATATCTAATAGATGGGTCCACGGTGGCTAAGTGAGTTAGACGCTAGCTCGCTAGCCTGGAGATCGCGGGTTACATCCCGGAGTTGGCCGAGAAAGTTCATCGGGATTTTCGGGCGGGGTTTCCACTTGTCAGTGGTGCTGAGCTAGTCAGCTATCTAGTCTTTCGGATGGTACGAAAATCCGGGGTCCCGTGTATACATTGACGTATTCATTACCCAGTTGGTGCAGAACAGTAGGACGTTAAACCCCATTTCATTTCATTGTGTATTTAATGAATGATAAAATATAACATGAATGTTTTCAGGTTTCAACCAAGGATTTAGAGCCGAACTTTTCCACATTAACAGACGAAGATACGCTGTTTTATAATAAAGGTTTATAAACCTTGTGTGTTTTTAAAGGTTTATAAATCGAGAAACAGCATGGGGTGGATAAACGTAGAAACGGCGGGCGTGTGAATGAGGAGAAAGCGGAAGTATGGAAAAAATGTTTTTCATCTATTATATCTGATTACAGAGCAATCTGATTAAAATACAGATCTATATTTCGTTTCGTTTTTGTTATACCTTCGATGGCCTCCACTACATGAATTTCTGACCGGTTGCAGTGGGAGCTCGCGTCAGGGGTCATACAAGCGACTTTTGACTTTATGACGTCAGACATTTGATTAACCAATCAGCGTTGATGTTTCTAGTGGGTCACCCACAGTTCCGTGCGCCGCACGCCAAGAACTCGCCACAACAAACCGTTTCATTGTCTAATCCCTCACATCAACCAAGACGCGGATTATGTAACAATTCTTCCTGATCCTTGTGTAGCAAAGAAAAGTAAAACGAAATTTTGAACTTTAAAAAAAAAAGACGAAACGAAATAGGATTTGTGTTTTAATCAGATTGATAAAAGAGGTCAGTATTGGTTGTCATATCGACAGTATTAACATAGTATTTTCTGATAATTAAATGGCGATACATGCATAATATATATATGACGAATGGTTATCGAACATTGTTGAATCAGGAACCGGTTCCATAACCTTTTTGTTATTTTTTTTTAAATCTTGGCGCGACGCTCTTCAAATAAAGCACAGGGCTCCGCCAATTCGAGTACGATCGAAATAAAACTTAGCAAGTTTGTTCTTTAGACAATTGTGCATTCTTAATATGGCTTCATAATTCCAAGAAGGTTGGAGGAGTAGAGTCGCCTGAACAACTTCATGGGGTTTCTGCGTGTCCAGTGGTTACCTCAAAGACCCCTACACACATGCGAATTTATCGAAATAAAATTAAACCATTTATTATGTTGGTCCCGAATTGATCTAGTTTGTGTCGAGTGGACGCTAAAACCCAAATGTCCTGCTCTCTCCAAGATGGTTGCGATGACGTCATGGCCGGTTCCTGATACATATTGTAAGCTTGTACCTGTTTAGTATTATAGTAAAATTTAGAGTGCTATTAGTATTTGTTGGTGGACGTATATTTGTATCTTGGGGGGTAGGGGGGGGGGGGGGTATGTGTTTGCCAGTATAGTTTAGGTAAAAAAAGAGTAAGATTTACGAGAGATTTGTCTCGCATGATGAAACAACATGTTACGTTAAATTGTTTCAGTGGCATTTAGTAATTGAACTGGAGTATACAGGTCACAATTCTATAGAATACAATTACTATGTTATGTTATGTTATTCATTGCTTGATAATGACTAGAGAAGTCTAGTCGAAACGTCGCTCAGTAATAAGCAGTAGTTGTATTTCATATTGTATTCCATAGAATTGTGACCTGCATAACATAATATTATGTTATTACTTCTAACATGACGAACCGCCGGCCTCGGGATTTTCCGTGGTATTGGCAAATTAGTATGTCCGAACTTTTAACACCATGTTGAGCTGTAACCGTTCTATATAATATTAACATGTTTTAACTGAATGAACACTAGCATGTTCCGCATAGATCGAAAACAATTCCAACTCTATAACTTAAGGGGTTAGTCATCCAGAGAGGGGGTGGGGTGGCTCCATCGACCACCCCTTTCAGTGAGATGGTAGGACCGTTGATTCGTTTTGACATTGGGTACTGTTTATGCTCTGACGCTTTATTCAGTTAAAACAATTTAATATTCTATAGAATGGTTACCTGGTAATGTGGTGTTAAATGTTCGGCCAATTGTTGACAATTTGATGAAATTTTTAAAAATGAACTTATCTATGTATGTATCTACCTGTTAGAATTCTTTAACACTTTAATATTTTGATTGAATTTTATCTTTTTATATCCAGTATTCGAAATTATGCAATAATGAATTTATAATAATATATAATTATAATAATATATCTTTTTATATCCAGTATTCGAAATTATGCAATAATGAATTTATAATAATATATTAACATGAAATATCCATTGTTTTATATGGATTGATGTTATAATAAGGCAATAATAATGTTTGTTTGTATTTACCTTATATTAAAGATGCATTATGTAAGATTTGAAGAAAAAAAAATATACTGTAAATTTCATTCAAATTACTTTATTCTGGGTTAAGTTATGACTATTTGAATAAGAAGCGTAGAACGCGGGTGTTTAGATCCATTTAAATATCGGTCATCCGATGGTATAGAGAGTTGATTATAGGCTTGACATGTGAATAAATGTCTTTAATTAACAATTTATTCAACACTAGAAGCACAATAAAGAACTGCAATAGGCAGATTTAGTTCTTACAAAATACATATTTAAAGACAATGGCATTATTTGTATGTATTTACCTTATATTAAACACACTGAGAAACTTCTCATATACTGAGTTATTTAGGGGGGTGGCTGGATGGTTAGTGCGTGCGCGCTGTATCATACGGTCTGTCATTGAGTCAACTGGCGTGGTTTCGAATCCCCGGTTGTTCGTAACAAGGAGTAGGGTCGCCTGTCCAACTTCGTGGGTTTTTTGTCTGGGTCCTCCGGTTTCCTCCGACTGCTAAAGACCATTACGCGCAAGGGAATTATTGAAATAAACACTGAACCATGTGTTGTTCCCGAAATGACCTAGTTTGTGTCGAGTGGACGTTAACACCCCCCCACCCCTCTCTCTCTCTCTCTCTGAGTTATTTATCTAAATGTTACATAATACATCTTGAAAGCGGGACACGAACCATTATGCTACTTTTGGAACTAAGTTGATCCGGCACAGCAAATCGTCCAGGAAAACCAATTGTTGGCTCTGATATAAAACGGAACGCAAACATCATCCCCTACTGAGAACTTCAAACGGAACAACCCCTAATAATTATATTATAAAAGTAACTCGACCCAAATATGGCGAACGCTAAAGACGTCCCGTGTTGAAAGAATAATATTCATTTATCTAGTAATACAGTCGTTTAAAGAATTCACGTGAAAATCTTGTGTCGTGGTTTAAAGATCTGATGAATCCATCATTCATTCCAACTTCAACCATCTTCAAAGCCTCCGTTGTGCTTAGTTAATATGATGGCGCCCCCTGGTGGGAGACAAGTGTTTCTATCGCGTGCTTCATGACCACTAGGCTAATTTGTCCAATTAAAATTCATTTAGTTGTCTTTGTGCCGACATATTGTTGTTGATACTTTTATTACCCCCTAATAGCTTTATCTTTAGAGAACGAATAACAGTTGGCCATTTTCACCGCTCGTTTTCTAATTTACTCCTTTGATGTAATTGTTAATGTCCAGTGCCTATTAGCCCCGTTCTCCATTGAAACATCAGCTTAAATCAAAGATGGCGTTAACGACGGCATTTCTAATTTCAAGTACTGGTGTTATGGAAAGGAGAGGCGGGGGAGTTGGGGAAATAAAATGGTCTAGGGGCGTAATTCTGTTTGATTATTATATCGCTACATGTGTCACTTTAAAACAACCCATATAGATCCCCACCAATTCTTCCTGCCCGAGGTTCATGTTGGTGTTAGGCCTATATCTGAATCGAAATAAAAAAAAATTAAACGTATCTGGATTTTAAAAAAAAAGAGATAATGTCAGTATTAATTTATACAGTTATCGGTGAATGAATTTACGACCAACCTTGGTAAGTTAAATATAATGCCGTGTCGGTTTAAGACCTATAGAGGCCCTAAAGATTTTGGTACCCTCATGGTATAGACCTGGTTAATCCAGCCCTGTGTAACAGCAACAAAAGCTAAGGTGTTGGCCGCCAGATTTCACGGAGGCTTTACCACTGCATTGGCCAAATTGCCTGTAGCCCTGGTTAGAAACGAAAATCGAAATATCCATTGGCCAATTGTTCACCTGCGACCTGCCACCATTCTTGTTAAAAACGGAAATCTAAATACCCATCACCGTCTCGCTGGTTTTTAACACCATTTTAGTAATTTGAACACCTTTACAGACATGCGTTTAAGTGGTTAAAACGTTTCTAAAACTTGTCAGTTGTACAAAATGAGTTAATGTCGACCCTGTGTGAGCCTAATGAGCTCATTTTAAATTGAGAACAAAACGACGCTCTTCTGCCTTTATCCCATCTGCTTGAAGACGTCATGGCGCGGACATGTTGTTGCTAAGGTCGTGAATTGGTTGGGACTTGTCACAGCTGGAAGTGACGTGTCCTGCCGCCATGTTTGCGCTTTTCATGTCTTGATCAATTAGATCAGATTGCTTGCGGGAAGCCGCCATTACAAGTCGTAATGATTACACCGGTGGAAGTTTTATCTTTTAAAAACTATCTTTAATTGTTATTCCTACCCGCCTGTTTGAAGTGTGGTTGTAACAAGGGGTATATTTAACGTTTGTAACAGCCCTGACCGTCATGCCATACACCAGTTGTTACCTTCAAGTACCGAAGAACAGTCGGCATACTAATTAATCTGTAATTATCTTAATTGTAGAATGGCCTCCTTTTGGTGATTATACCCCGTGATCCAGCGCGTGACCACATTCTTTATGTAAATAAACACTTTCTTGTGATAGCCAAATTACAAATGATAAACTGCGATAGGTAGGCCTAATCAAAGGGACAGTAGGCCTATCATTTAAATGTAATTAGAGTTGCTGAACGTCATTTGAGCTAGGGGTTCAGGAATCCCTTAATAACGACAATAATGTGAAAGTTGAATCTCTAAATGGGCAATCTGTCCAAAAATAGTTCGCTATCGGTCAGTATTTTCAAAGATATCAAGAATTAAAATTTGCTACATTATCAAAACTTCCCCAATTTTATCAAAATCCTCAAAACTTATTATTCAGAACTGAAGACCTGAAAAATTCTGAAGAATTTTTTTTCTGCAGTCCTTAACTTCCACGATATCTCCCAAAGATTCTGAATAAATGAATGGATGAAATATGAAACTTTTGATAGTGGTACGACATAATATGTATGTATATAGCCATCTAATTAATTTGATCATACTTCTTTCATATGTTTTCAATATATATTTATGTTTGTATTTTATGGAGAGGGGATCTATATTTGTCAACATTCGACGCCCTCTGCAGGGTCTATAGCATGTTTGTTTTCTTAATTAAATGTTAAACAATCAATTTGAGTACATTAATTCATGATGCCCTACCTCACCACGTAAAGAAACAATTTTATTGAAAACGTTCCCACAACTGACATAAAAGCCAATCAAACTCCGTGAATGCATTTTTAAATAGAAAAGAAAAAAAAAGATTATGGGGACTGGGTGGTCGATTGGTTTTAACACCAGCGTTTTAGATCATCAAGTCTGATCTGTCGTCATTGAGCCAGGTGGCGTGGTTTCGATGCCAAGGAGTAGGGTCGCCTAACCAACTTCCTGGGTTTTTATCGAGTGTTCTCCCATTGTTCAAGACCCTTTCGCGCAAGCGAATTATTGAAATATATTTGAACTATAGGACCCGGAGGACCTGGAAATCTCCCACGACGAAACCACGCCACTCGATT